ATTATTATTATTATTATTATTATTATTATTATTATTATAAAATATCCTTATAAAACGAGGTTTTAGTCTTCTTTAATATTCTTAAAGTAATATTTCGGTTTTACTATTGGGAATCAGAAAAACTGAGAAAATGTAAAACAAAAAAAATTTGTAGAAATTTAACGTCAATGTTTTAACATCGATGTTTTTTTAAACATCGACGTTCTTTCTTTACCGGTGTTTTGTTTTTGAAAATTCCCATGATCACAATTCTGTAAAAGTTGAAAAATTAAATAATATCTGATAGTAACACTATTGTTTATGTGTTGGAACCAAAGGAACGCCGTTTATACTACCTTCATCGACCAAACTCTCTCGCCAGAGATGATCACCATTCCTTTGTATTTCCTCTTTCTTCATATTCATTTTGCACATTGAGATAAGGTCAACAAATACGCAGTGGATGTAGGTCCTGCCCCTTTTTCTCGCATCCTTACTTGGTGAATTAATTAACAGGAACACTGTCCAATTAAATTTTAATGCAAACGAATTTAATGTTATAGATTACTAATCCAGTTTAAAACATCGATGGTTTTTAGTTGATGTATTTTTAACGTTGATGTTTTAATTTAACATTGATGTTTTGTTATCGATGTCGCATCCTACTATCAACCCACTATGTAACCGTCTGGGGGGGGGGGGCACGTGCACAGTTATTGCTTCACGGGCACTGTGAATTGTGCCTCTGTGGTCGGCGGAGGACCTCAGGGCGGGGACGTTGTGTGCCATGGTGTCGGAGTATGGGGGAAAGGAGCCGGCCGTTGCGCGCCAGCCCGTGTGGAGGCGCGTACCCGGTACTCAAAGAGCACCATGTCCGGTCGGTCAATACGGGCATAGTAACACGAGGCGCTGGGGCGATATGGCCTCGGCGATAATGCGTCCACGTAATTTCTTTAAGTTAGTTGCCGGAGACAAATTTCTTCAGGGTGGCGTCAGTGTCACCACAGTACTCGCCGAAACCTCCCTCCACCTCAGGATGAAACTCCACCACGCGATAGGGCTGGGCCAAAAACTGTGTGGCGTGCTAGGGGAGACGTGAATTCGGTGCACGGCTTCTGTGACCCCTAGCGTAAGTCATATGCTATTGAATTCTGAATACAGAAAGAAATGAGCGTTTGGCAAGAATTGTTAACAAGGTACTCGCTCCGATGTAATAAAATCTATTTTGAAGGGTAAATCAGTGATAGATTTGAGCTATTATCCCTCTTCATGTTCTTCGTGAAGAATGGGGCCTGACCGAAGAGCTTGCCAAGACCAAAATAAACTAGAAAACTAACTAATATGAGAAAGTCTATATCATTCTGTAGCATCAGTAGTTTTAATTTACATTAGACATATTTCACTAGGAAATAATAAAACGTATAAGAGCTAGCCAAGACCAAAATAAACTAGAAAACTAACTAATACGAGAAAGTCTATGTCATTCTGTAGCATCAGTAGTTTTAATTTACATTAGTCATATTTTACTAGGAAATTATAAAACGTACAAGGAGAAAAGGATTATTACTTTAATGGTGTATATTTTAATGTTCTATACAATGGCAAGGCTATTTTTAAGAATCCTTGTCATTATATAGTACTATTATCAATGTGATTATATAACTGATGTTTGAATTTTTGGGTTTGCTTTTACTCTTACAAATACCTCAATTATTCCTAATTTGTGTTCTATTCGCAGCAGTTTGCTAATCTCTTATCACCGCCTGAGGTGGCTCAGCGACAACAAGCGTTTCTGCTGCAGCATCTCTCACCGGGACACCTAGACCAGACGCTGGCGAATATTTTCGACCCTATCAATATACTAGCTAGGTTGAAGACGGTTGCTGTTTCGAGGAGAATTCTAGCGGGCGGCTGTTCTGATACTATTCCGTGGTTTCTCCTGTAAATCTCAAGCGAATGCCGGAGCAGCAACCGGGAGAGATGGCTCAGGCATCTCTCCACTGATGTCACTGTAGTCCCTCTGATTGGAAAGTCATAGGTTCGAGTCCCGACGGTGGCAGGATTGTCGACACTAGCTTGTCAGCTAGGTCGAAATCTGTCGCTGTCTGGAGGAGAAATCTAGCGGCCGGCTGGTCTGATCGGTAATTTTCCGGGGTTTCTCCGATCAACGCCAGGCGAATTCCGGTGCAGAACCCTAACAAAAGGGCCACGGACCTCGCGCGATCTTTCCTTCCTCTTCCTTGTCCTTTCCTCACCCCTTATTTATTCATACTTACACTAACACTCACTACACAAGCACACATGCTGGCAGATCGGTCGGGAGCTTACAACTTGTCCCGGCTGGGGAAATGCCCCGCTAATGGGAGATGCCCCACTAGTCGACGATAGGTCGGTGCCGGACCTCCCATACAGCGAGGGAAAGATCACCGCTACCTCCCGAGCAAAAATATGCACTACACTTACGGAACTATTGACCGTGGTAGTTGACGTGCCAGGAATCACTAAAACAATCAATTAATCAAAACCGGAGCAGAATGGGATCAAACGGGCCAGAGACCGTGCGCTATCTCCACCGATCCATTCTCCTCCGCCCCTCCTCTCTTACACATACTCATGCTCACTTACATGCACTACACTATTACTCATTTCGGGAGGCCAGTCGGGAGTTTCGAGTATGTCCCGGCTGAGACGATGTCCCGCTATGAGAGGTACCTGAAGAGGGAAAATCCGGCAAGCCATAGTTTGTTTCGGCGCCAAAACTCCCAGCGGGAACACCGCCACCTCCCAGCTATTACATGCAACACACTCACGGGACTAATAAAGTAGTTGGCCCGCGCGGAAACACTAAATACTCAATTGCTCTTCTACTGTGTTCTTATCTCCTCAATGCCGGAGATCATGACCCTTTCTCAGATGTCAGTCGCTGGAATAGGACTGCTGCGACTTACGTTACATAAATGTAAAAATTCAAGGCGGTGACCGTGAATTGCTGAATTTCATTGGATTTCGAGAAAAATGCCTACGAAAATGAGACGCATGGGTTTTGAGATCTTCCAGAGAAAGGAAGCGCGTATCAAGAATGATTCTTTTAGGCTTTCGGTGAGTATTATCGCTCCTGTTATGTTGCTTCTGCAGCTGTGACGTTGATTATCGACTTAAAAGACCAGGTTTCCATTTTTGCGATTAAGCGTGGTATCTAATCATTTATCAATCTTCAGAAATATCTTCTTATGAAATGTGTTTGTAACAATATGTATCTATAAATTTGTACACTTACATACTAATATGTGTTCATACACCACTATACATGTACTAGTACACATACATATTTTTACATTAACATATTTCCATTACATTATTCTCACGACCAAAAATTTAATTAATAAGTAATTCTATCGTCTCGTGTTTCTCTTATCATTCGACCACTGAAAGTTTCTGGACATACATGAGAGGTCAACGACCTTCGGGCAATAACGCAATGAGAGCGGAAAAACAATAAAAAGATCTCCCCTGAACAAGGAAATATTGAGTAAGGTTAATTGAATTCGCTTTACCTAAAGTTTTTTTCATACAAATGAGATGACTGGATTAAATAAACATGAAGATAAACAATGAGGCAAATCATGAACAGAGCACAGTACTACTTCTTCCTGGTAGTATGTAAACCAGGTCAATGTCAAGTAAATTCTTGAGCACGCTTCTGAACTTGCTTCAAGGAGTTAAGAGAAAGCGTGCAAACTTGGAGAGCATAATTTTCACTAATTAGTTCATTAATGATGAAATTAAAAGGTCTTCATGCCATATTCATGAAGAGGCTTCCCAGCGGCAAGAAATGACATGGTCGCTGCGGCCTTCAATTTGTCTTTTTTTAAATTCAACGAGTTTCCTTCGCCAGATTCGCCGTTAATGTGTTTGTTACTTCTTATTATGCAAATTTTATCACCACATCTTTTTTAATTTCGCATTGATATAGAAGATATGAATTAGGACAGGTATTGAACGTTGCGATCCGCCGACAAACATTCTTCGTTGCCACGCCAACATCGACTGAAAATTGATTCCAAGAAAATATTCAAAGCGCTGTACCTTTACAAGTGTTCTTAAGGCACGAGGAAATAAAATTATTGTAGAAATGTTTCTACATATCGGACGCATGATCATGTACTTAGCTACACTCCAAAACAAATGCTCCCATTGCTGTTGCTATATCTTAATTTTGTTTGAGTTTCCAATTATATTAAATTCTGATGTTCGAGATTTGGCCTCCTAATCGAAAACCAATGCGGCGAATTTCAGAATCAGTTTAAAGTTGTAAATTAATTACGCTGTCGTAAATCATTACAATAGTGTTCATCTTCTATATCAATATGAATGACACACTTTGAGGATTTGTAAGTTATGGAAATTGAATTATTCCGAAAATATATTAATCAATGCAACAAAAAACTGCATAATAATTTACTTTACATACACCTCTTCTCTTATTTTACCATTACCATCTTCGGAAAAATAATAGTCGTAGATTCGAATAGAATATTACTTTATTTTCAATCATTTCTAAAGATGAATATAAAGTATGTTTGTACAAAACCCTTCAATCCAATTTTGGGTATTTATTTATTTTAAATATTAAAATCGTGAAATAATTATTTTGTAAACTATGTCTAGAAATTGTGTAGGAAAGATTTTAAATGAATTAAAATCGCTCATTTAATTTTTGTTTATTTAATTTTGAAATGAGCGGCACGTCTGTAGAGGAACATGTAAAATTATTCGAAAGATATAACACTTGTTATACTGCACATATTGTCTTTCCTTTTATTATACGTACATATGACGTTTGTAGCCTCCATAAGTCTATCAAAACATAAAATTGATGGTAAATATGTGTTTTAATGAAAAATGTAATTTATTTTGATGTAATAAACGATCGCAAGTAGAATAGAACAGTAAGTGCGCAGTGAAGTATCTTTCACGAACGTTCGTGAATTCTGATGGGCTTGGGTAGAGAAAGAGAAACTCCAGAAGGCGTCCCAGTCGGTCCCGTCAAGTGCTCGGCCAGTGTACTAGTTGACCGGCGGTCTCGTCATGTAAATATCATAATAGAACAGGTTGCGGGGACTGTACCTCTTAATCATGAAACACAGTAATAATACCAAGTACGAAAAATTGCCACAACAGTCGCAGATCGACAAAAGATTTAATGGAGATGCGGTAGGAAGTCCTGACAGTGGAAGTTTAAGTCTGAGCGAGGTGAGTGAGCTGCCAAAATGTAGGACTTCGGTATTGATTATTACTGGCGAGAATGTTTGACACTGTCCGACCTCATTTTCTGAGCTTTCAACTACTGTTAAGAGCCAAATGACCGTGAAAAGCATTTGATTAAATTTATGCAAAGTAATATTGTAATACAGATGTACTTTGTTTATGACAGTAAGTCAAGAATAAGGTTATTGGCAGAAGTAAATTTGACGTCAAACATTTCTTTCATTATCATAAGAAATTTAACAAATACTTCACTATTTTATTATATATTGCAAATATATTGTTACAAATGGGTAAAAATGTATGGAAATAAGGAAGAAGTAAGAGTTGGTTTGTAAATTTTGAAATATTATTTTTGTAACTGTCAAATAAACTTTCTTGTAAAGTGAACCCAACAAGGTCCTAAAATTATCTCTAACTTTTTTAAAATGACAGGTTGATGAGTGTGAGATGTGGCTTAAAACAAATGAGGCGAGCACCCTGGGTGCTGAAGAGGTAGCTGCCAGATTGAGAACTGACATAAGATCAGGGTTGTGGTGGAGAGAAGCTGAGTTGCGTCGTCAGTTGGCAGGATATAATGAGTTGACTGTAAAAGATGATGATCCAACTTGGAAAAAATATATTGAACAGGTTTGTGCCAGCATTCCATTAAAATTGTAGGCTGACATTTTTATTTATTGAATTGGAAATTTGAGACAATCACAGTTTTGGTGGCTTAATTATATCCGTATCAATTTATATTGTGGCAGTAGCTAAATGTTTTATTTTTGTTTCAGTTTAAGAATCCTTTAATATTGTTGTTATTGGCCTCGGCTGTTGTTAGTATATGTATGAAACAATTTGATGATGCAGTCAGCATTACTGTGGTACGTGTTTTATTTGAAATCATATGCTGAATTGACTTCATTAGTAATGTAAATGCCAATAGTATTTATATTAAGCATGTAATTAATATTCAATTTTCCCTTTTAGGCTATCATTATTGTTGTGACAGTTGCCTTTGTACAGGAATATCGATCTGAAAAGTCTCTGGAAGAATTAACAAAATTGGTTCCACCAACATGTCATTGGTATGTTTTTAGAAATTCCAAAGTTCGAATTATTTTTTACCATCAGAATGAACATTTAAGTAAATTTTGAAAATCATAATAGTTGTGTGAAACATTGTATTTTAAATTGTTTTTACAGCTTTTACAAATGTAGAATATTATTTCAGTATCCCAACAAATAAATATTTGTAATTTTGCTGAGTTTTGAAATTAATGCAATTTAGTGATAAGTCTAACAATTCAGTTGAAATAAAATGCTAAATTACTAGCAAAACGTGTTATGTAAATTTTAGAAGAGGTGTTTAAGAACATTTTCCAGTACAATTAGTATTTGTGTGAAGGAATTGATCAAGTGACTCTTTATTTATATTATATTAATCTTTGGATATAAGGATGTATCTGTTGTTGGTGTATGCGTTTTAAAAAATCCATTTTTTGGTTGTTTCAGTTTACGAGAAGGCCAATTGGAAACTTTCCTTGCCCGAAATCTAGTCCCAGGTGACGTAGTACATCTGAATGTGGGTGACAGAGTTCCAGCTGATCTTCGTTTATTTGAAGTGAGACTTTATATGGTTAAAATGTGAAGTTGCATGTTCATGTTTTTGCAGATTAAAACTGTTATTTTTGCAGTATGTCAGTTGAAGTTGAAGTAGGCAGTTAATGAGTCTATTTGTTATGTTGCTCCCAACCCATCTCCTTTAATTTAATCAAATATTTTTCCAATCCAGTATTTAACCTGATATTTTTTTGCCCATTTGACTCAATACATTTCTGAAAGGTTTTCACTTCAAATTACTGTAAGCCATTCCTGAAGATGTTATGTGATTGAAAAGTTCAACTAATAAATAATTTTTTATTGTTGACAGGAGATCTATTTCATTTCCTTAAATTCTTGAGCTTGAAATGGAACCAATAGTTTCATAAATTTGTGAATTTTTAATATTCATAAGGTTTTCAATTACAATTAATTTTTAAAGATGATGCTTATTGATGTGCAGGTAATTGCTAATGTTTTGTTTTCAAATAGGCAATCGATCTTGCTATAGATGAGAGTAGCTTTACTGGTGAAACTGAACCGGCTACTAAATCAACTGCACCAGTTTTGAAGACAAATGGTCATACTTCTAAGAAAAATATTGCATTTATGGGAACATTAGTTCGCTGTGGAAATGGAAAGGTATAAATTCTATTAATTGAATTGTATATGTGCACAATAAGTATATTTATTGGAGATTGTTTATATCATAAGAGAACACTGAATGTTTGTATAATGTGTTTTTCTTCTGTGATGACAGGGTGTAGTTGTTAATACTGGAGAAAAATCAGAATTTGGAGAAGTATTTAAAATGATGCAGGCTGAAGAGGCCCCCAAAACACCTTTGCAGAAGAGCATGGATATTTTAGGCACTCAGTTATCCTTCTATTCTTTCTGTATTATTGGTCTTATCATGATGCTTGGTTGGTTTCAAGGACGACCCATTTTGGATATGTTCACAATTGGTGTGAGGTACGAAGTTTTCTACATTACATCTCCCTCAATATTTCATCATAAAGTGTAAAATACTAAGTGTTTTTCATAATTTTATTTTCATAAATAATAGTTCAAATTTTAATAGCAATGATGAATTTTTTAGCTTGGCGGTGGCAGCTATTCCTGAAGGATTACCAATTGTGGTGACTGTGACATTGGCCCTGGGTGTTATGAGAATGGCAAAAAGAAATGCTATTGTGAAAAAATTACCTACAGTTGAGACTCTTGGTGAGACAACAATATTAATTTTTATGTAACCAAACCTTTTTAACAAGCAGATCATTCATTATAGTTTTGAGTTATGCATAGATTTGGATGTCTGCCTCCATTGTTATAAGTAGATCTCTGTAAATATCTTAAATTAGGTTTGGAGAAGCTAAATGGATCAAAAGAATGCATGGAATAGATAAATCTACACTTCGTGAAGTTCATTTTAAACAACATTATTACTTTCTATAATATTTTTTTGTACATTTCTCATTTCGATTTTCATTCATTCTTACTTTCTACTGTTTTTAAACTTTATTGCTTGCCTTTTTTGTGTATTTTTAGTTTTGCCGTACATGCTGGGTGTAAATATTTACGTCTCTTCCACATGCGATTAAGAGCATTCACATTGTTGGAGTATTATAGTATATCCTCTTCTTTGGTTGTTTTTCTATAATACTTCATTGTTTGTTATTTTGAGACAAATTAAACAAAAAATTTTTTTGGAAAAATAACTAAAAATAATTTTTACTTTCTGAGATTATTGGAACAGTGCAATTAGTGCGGGTCTTCTGAGACATCTTAAATGCAGAGGAGTGAATCCAAGTGTGTTACAAGTCATCACTTATGCTAAATTTTATCATGTTTAGTCTCCTCTCATCATAATTTCTTTAATGCATTGAGCGAATGAAATAATCCTAAAGCTACAAAGTATTTTATTTTATTTTCCAATAATAATAATTTTTCTACTGTTCAATCATTTAGAGAGGGACATTTCCAGTCATTTTAGTATTTATGTAAGCTGGGAATAAGTAATAAAAATATAATTGCTTGAATGTTTATTCAATGGCTGAGGAACTTGGACTAATGAAGTTAAGAATTAATTTTGAATACACAACAAAATCTCTCTATAAGATGCAGATAGAGCTAAGCTATAGCTATAGAGATGCTATCGAGAAATTAGGATCTCTATAACGATGCTATAGAGAAGAATGGAATTTTCGCTATTACCGTATTTACCTGAATGTAAGACAGTTTTTTGTTTCTAAATATTTCATTCAAAAAATTTGGGATCTTATTAGATTAATCTTGTCATCTTACAGATTAAACCTAGTTGGTTAAGAGTAATGTTTTTACAATACCTTCTGATGTCGTGAAACTCATTAATGATTACATATCACTAAGCTGTGATAAGAATATCCATAGTGATATCCATATCTTTAGTAAGTAATTATATTTGTGGTCATATTCTCGGCATTACCACAAATTTCCTGGAAGATTCAGGCTGTTATTTTTGAATTAGCTGGTAAAGAGATATGCAAACGAGTGTCATTGTGCAGGCATTCAAATATGAAAAGAAGCAAGATCTCTGCGCAGATTTTTATTCCACGATGCCCATTATGAGATAGAGGAGGCTGAACGTACTCTTGTTTCAACACCAACTAGTGTGAATGCAAGAGGCGAAGATGAAAAAATTCACATTGATGGAAGTATATTCACATTCTACATCCAACCACAGAAAAGGATGATAAACAAATGTTTTCTAATCAAAAACTTCCCAAACATGGAAACAGGCCACTATTTCCAAAGTTCCTCACCATGCAGAGGAACAGAGAAGTAAGACTTCACAGTTCACAATTAGATCTCACAAACATTAAACAATGCAAACTTCTTTTATATTTTGTTGAAGAAAGTGAAAGAACTGTTGAAAGAATTGATGGCAAATATTTGAGCGAGCCAGGAAGAAAATCTGGTGATACAGAAGGGAATGTTTTTAGGCGACATTTTAAAGACATTGAGCGAAAGTTCAAAGCACAAACTAACTTTCAAAGGGGCCAAAAAAGTGAGAGAAAGTCACAGCATAGGAGGAGGACCAAAAATAAACAAACTATAACATATGTGAAGATGATAAGGTGTCAAAACAAAGATTATGATCATTTTAAGGAACAAGATAATAGTGATACATTAAGCACGAGTTATAACATCCTCATCTAGGAGTTAAGTCATCCACAAAACAATTTTCTAGTCAATTAAACAATTTGTAATTTCATTTTGACTAAGTAGTAAGAATTAGTTAAAAATTCAAAAAAGCCTCAGGAGGCCTCTTCAAAATTAGAGGGTTGTCTTATAATTCAGTCAAAATATATTTGGGTATATAACTTTATAAGCAACATTATTTATATAGGGTGTCCATGGAGGAAACTTCAAAACTTTGCAAATAATCTTTTAAGAGAATTTCAAGCATATTTTGTCTAATAAAGTAGGTGGATATTCCGAATGGTTGAGCCTCAATAAGCACTTGCAAGTTGGTTTGAAAAATTGCTCTCTAGGCAAAAGTTTGCATTGCGGAAGCATACAACCCTCCGGAGACGTGGAAAGTGTTTATTATTAACAAAAGAAATGAATATATTTGTTCTGAAAAAAAAATTAAGGGATAAATTAAAGAAGTGGTTGAATTGTGTAAATTGGGTGCTTTTTTTCTTTCCCTGGTCACTGTATAAAGATATCCTCAGGACTGTAAATATTGTAAGTAGGAATATATATAAGCAGGATTCTCTTATAAAACAGTCTGTTATACAAGAGATTTATTTATTTTTATGTGACTGTCTATAATTTATATATGTATATATATTTTATAGAAATTGTAACATTAACAGCTTTTTACGTGTTTTTTAGGTTGTGTGAATGTGATCTGCTCAGATAAGACTGGAACCATAACAAAGAATGAAATGACAGTAACAGTCATGGTCACATCAGATGGTTACCTTGCAGAAGTAAGTTTACGAGTAATTGAGCATTCATCTTGCTTTTGGGAATGAGTTTGTTTTGGTGATGAGATAAATGAATTAATATTTTATTTCAAGATTGTTACACAAGGTACCTCAGGATATGATGATAAAAACCAAAAGTCTTAAGAGTAGTTAAACTCAGTCAAACATAAGATTTTTGCAACCTTTTTTCTTACCCCTCTCCCACCACTCCTGTACCTCTAGCGTCAAAAACTTGTTTTTTTATTTTATTTTTTTTATCAAAAATCATTTTTTGTTATTTTGTGACAAATTTAACAAAAATATTTTTTTGTTGAAAAAATAACTAAAAATAATTTTTACTTTCTGAAAATATTGGAACACTCATGAAGAGAGTCCCAAAACCTCCTCTTAAAAACCAATTGCTGTGATGATTGTTTTTTTTTAATTAATTTATTTATTTCTACCCCCTTTCCATCTTGGAAACCACTAATGTCTTAAACACAAATGACTTAAACATATCTTCATTTGAAATATTTGTTGTAGCACTCAGTATCTTTTTTGATCTTCGAATTTAGTTACAAATTACATTTTCAAAAGCTTTATAATCATTTATTTATTATATCATACACTAAGGAAAGATAATAGTTTTTAGTAGTTTATAAGAAACCATTGACTCCAAACCCTATAAGTGTGCTACTGATTGAATTGAATATGCCTTATTTTACGTGGCGAGACTCGGGCCATCAGGCCCGCTCTTCCGTCTGACCACGCAAATTTCGCTACGCTCCTTTCATATAGCAGAGAAAGAAGGTATTTCTTGGGCGAGAAACAGGCGATTTGAATTTAGCTCAGAGGCGTCATTTAGGCTTGAGGATCTTTTACATGCAAGTAAATCTACGAACATGGGACAGCCGGCTTTACTTCCCCTCCGAAGGAAGGCATACGAAGGATTTTTGCGCCCTTAAAAATCCATGGCTTCGATCGGGTTTGAACCCGCCAACTTGGGTACAACAGTCCAGTACGCTAACCGTTACACCATCGCCGCCACTGATGGATAGGGAATTACAGCCAGTTCTACCTCCAACAGATTTCATTTATATTTTTTTTCTGAAATCTTTTGGAAATATGAGAGTGTAATTTTCCCTCCACCAGTAACATTCTTCTAGGGTTTGGTGTCAATGATTTCTTATCCAAAAAACAAATCTTTACGTTAATTATCTGTACCAAAAACTATCATCTTTTCTTGGCATATGATATAATAAACAAAGGATTATAAAGCTTCAAAAATATAATAATTTGTAACTTAATTCCAAGGTTTTCAATTCACCATCTACTTGCCTCATGTAAAATATATAAACTTTTCTTTAATTTCATAATTTTTCCTTTTATTTTAAAACCTCCTGGAGGAGACCTATAGATATCTTTATCTACATTTCCATTTACGAATGTTATTTCAACATCATTAAATGTTATTTTATAATTTCTAATTGCAAAAATAGTGGTCTAGAAGTTTCATGTTTCATTGCTGAACTATAAGAATTATAATACTCTATTTCTAGTTCTTTATGATACTTACCTTACTTTGAATTTAACTATATCTCCATTTTTCTTTCTCTTATATCATTTTTAGGCTTACCTACTATTTCCCAAATTTTATAGTTCTTCATACTTCTTAATTCCATTGCAGTTTTCCATTTCTTTCTATTGATTCAATAGCTTCTCTATAACAATTTATAGTGCGACCAGTGCTGGACCACTCAAAATGGATTGCCCCAAGGGGATGGCATTGCCATGTACTACACATTCTACACTTAATCTCATAACTACTACCATGCTACAGTATCCAATTAACAATAACAGCAAAACTAACAACTTCAACTACTTGCAATTCTTACTTGCTCATCACACTATAACAACTAACCTTTCTCTTCTCCCTCTGGCAAAATGGGTGACTGGCAAATTAAATTTGTAGTTGGTGATTCATTTGTTTTATAATTTGAGATGACAACTTGCACAATTACTGAAGTTTCCAATTTGTTGATGCTTAGGATAAGGCACTGGAATTATCATGTGATCACATCCTCTCGGCCACCTTCTAATTTTATTCATAGAGTAATTTTAAAATGTTTAATATGTTTGCCTGTATGCCTCAACTTAATACATTGCACATGTTAATCTATTACAGTTGTTTATGTTCTTTGGTACATTTTTATTCTTCAGGTATCAGGTGCTGGATACAATGATCAAGGTGAAGTACACATTCATAAATGTGACAGTGTGGAAAGGGCAAGAATTTCCATTTATAACCTTCTGGAGGTAAGAAATAAAATTTTAAAAAAGAAGCATTTTTCTCCTATAAAAGTATGCTTTGGTTTTAATATTCTTAGGACTGAAAATAGACAATATGTTTCCTTCAGAGGGTCACATTGATAGAGAGTAATAAACTGAGTTTTGGAATTTATTTCAAGATTGAATCATAATAATAAAATTAAGTAAAATACTTAAATCAGTAAAATGAATTTATTTTGGTACAATATATCCACTTGTAGTGTATAAGGTAATAAGCCAAGTAGTTCATACACAATATACACTTTGGGAATACTCACTTTGCAGAAAGAGGCAATCTGAAATAAATTACAAAAATTGAGATTTATAGAGATAAAATTGAGAAGTGAATTTCTTAACTGTGCATGGCCTCTTCATAAATATTTCTAAATTATAATGAAGTTTCATCCACTCCCTCGAGAAAATATATAACTATAACATCAGAAATAGGAGAAATAAACATGTTGGTAGTACAAAATTTAAAAAAAACTACCAGAAATAAGAATATAAATAAACAAAACCCACAAAACCTGGATCCTGACTGCACATTTTGGAGCAATTAATTTACTATGCGTAAGAATGAGATTTATCAACATTTGTGATACCAGGTCACCACAATACAAGGTTATCTGTTGAAAAACTGCCAATTCCTGCAGCAGCATTGTTTTTCTCTCATTACTACTTGAATACATATGGCAATGACATAAAATGAATTATTTATGGTCCCCTAAGTGTAGAAAGGAAATTTTATTTTATGAAAATAATAAAGAGTCCAATCCATTTAATTATTGGTGCTGATGATCCTACAGCTTACACTGGAGATTTGAATAAGGAAACCTACTGAAAAATTAAATCAAAATGCTTTCAATTTCAGAATAATAGAGATCATTTATTCATTAACAAACAACACCTTTTCACAATATTGTTTGCAAACTGAAAAGAACAGTGCAACATTTAATTACTTTAACAATTTTCATGAACAGTACCTAGTTTTCCTTTTTCACCTATCAAATAACCAAGGGCCCTGCCCAATTCCATATGTACACTTCACTATCTACTCTGTCAATTATTCTTGTCTATTTACTTTTCCATAATATTGTTTTCAATCAAATATACCGTCACTATTACTTTGTCTTTCTTACATCCAAATTCATCACTGATTTACGTCGTTCTGACTGTAAACTAATCATTTACATCCTCATTTCAGAACATCCACTTCCTCACAGATTGTTGATTCCGTCCTGCTTCTTAAGATGACCGCCTCCATGACATCACAAAATTGCCAACTTGTGATCTTATTCCAGTAGACAGTGTCTGTACATATTGTCTTGGGTGATGATGAAAGTCATTTGCTGCGATAACATAGCATGCCATCCTTTTGACATCAATTCTGTTAACCGTCGCCCTTTCTGACAGTCGGGCCTGCATTGTTTCGCCTCGCGGTCAGGTGAGCGCCAGGCGGGCATGAGCAGCCGCCGTCGCTGGAATAGTTTCTCGAAGAAACGACCCGTTTGAAACAAATGTTCGGGAAACAAATGTTTCTCATGTAAAGGGATGGCGTTGCAGGAGATGGTGATGTAAACGATTTACTAACGAGGTAGCTAAATGAACGCATTGGCGAATTGGGAGCAAGGACATAACCCGCAGTTATGTTCTCAGCAGCCACTGTTAAAGCAGTCCCTTCTCATAAAAATCTCTCTCTAACGGCTGCAGATTACCATATTCGAGCGTTCTTCTGACCACATCGGCCGGGCGTAGGGCGACGCGCAGTCGGAGGACCCACTGCTGCGCAGAGCGTTCACCGTCCGCAACGTGTGTCCCGATAGTATTACGCGGCCTTGTGCGCGGACGTTAGCGCATAACCGCGCAGTGTTTTCACTCTGCTAGGAGAACTGCCTCAATTAGCATCGCCTCGCGAAAAGTCTCTTTCTGCTGCACTCAGATGCCAAAAGAAACCCGGAGGAGCAAATGAATATCCCCAACTAGGGATTTGTCGAAGTGCTTAAACGGAACACAAGGGACCTCGGGGAGAGAATGAAACGAGAGGCGAATGAGAATATCCGAATCCGGATGCATCTCTCTGCCTTTAGAATCACGAACATTTGATTCTCCTCCCGCTGGACTATTCCTGATAGCTCAGACCGACCTTTAGAGGACATCGGTGAGGGGGTTCTTGCAACAATCGATGTGCTTGATTTTGTTCCTGAAGAAAACGGACGTTGAAGTTTGACCGGCGACACGCGATCCGCGCATCTGCTCGATGGGTGCACTCTTCCTCCCGTGCGGTCAACGGAGCTGTGGCAGCGGTTCCCTTGAAGTAGGGATGTGTTTAAGAAAGTCGAGGCGGGAGCATCAAGAGTCCTAACAACAAAATCAACAAAAAGCTTGCATGCGCATGTGCGCTTAGAGTTCTCGTCATATTCCGCAGTTGAGAGGTGGGTCGATTTACGAAAAAGGGGCGATCGTTTGTTGGTGACATCTCTCCCTGGGGTTTGCCTCCACATGAGATCCCGCGGACGGAAAGCGGTGTGCCCCCTACCAACGATCGTGCCCCCCCCCCTCCCGCCTCGGCGCGTAACTTTGCTTTCATATCGGTGATACCTCGGCCCTCTGTGACCAGCGGAGGTTCTTTTACTCTAGCGGAGCGCCGCCAATCGTCACACCCTCTCCCCCCTGGCCGAACGTTGCAGTTACCGAGGACTGAGGGCAAATCGCAAAGATCGCGTTCTGTTACTGTGCATAACAGCAAAGTGTGCTCTAATTCTTTTACCTTTAAAATTCTCCCTTCCTGTGTTTTTCTCACATCTGTTAGTCCCAAAAGCCTAAAGGATTTCCTTTCATATTTAAACTCCTTTGGAAGGGCCAAATAGTGACTTATTGGTGACAGAAAAATGACTGGAAACCCTTCATTGTGATTTCCTATGAAAAGCGTACCTGCTTTTCATTACACTGTTTATATTACGGGTGTTTAATTTGCATATGTGGAATTTAATGCTTGATATAATTTCTTCTAAAATTCCTTTAAAATTTAAAAGTAAGCTCATTTTTACCCCAAAAATTGTAAAAATGAGCTAAAAGTTGTCAAAAAAACTCAATTCTATGACAGTTTTCATTTTAAATGAAGTTACTCATTTCTTATTAATACATATGTTGAATGAATATTATTTAAATAAAAAATAAGCGAATATTATTTATTAAATAGTAACTTGCTTCTAAAAAACTAAACGCTTAAAAAAAAAAATTAAAAAATTACTACAGAATTAATTAATCTACAAATTAAAATTAACAATTTTATGCATTATTTAAATTGTGTGAAAAATTAATTGATTATATAAGATTAATCGATGAATTCAGTAAGTTCAGAATTCAGTTATCCATGCATATTAATAAAAAAAATCGTTGATTAGATATTAATCGATTATTATTTAACAATCGCCCTTCCCTACTCTTCAGTGAGAATGTCCCCTGAAAAGCATTGGGAGAGGTCCTGGTAGGTCTTTTAGTTGATGATAAGTAGCACTGGGAAGAGGCTGGGACAAAACAGATGAGCTAGCCCATTCTCAAGAGAATAGGAAACTAACTAATATGAGAAGATCTGTGCCATTTATTGCCTCACTGGTTTAAATTATTTTTGGGTGTGTTGCAGAATGTAATTATTTTACTTTTTAATTACTATTACTTTTTAATTTTATTATAGTGTTGTCTGAAGATGGAAGTACATTGATTTCCGAAATGTCACTTTTGGTGATAAAGATTTATAATGAACTTGTAATTTACTGAAATTCTTTAATTCTTGATGGTCTCAAGAAACTTTGGATTATTGAGGTGATGATGTTTCATCAAAAAAGAGAATTTTCTAATAAACTGCAATTTCTATAAACGCGTGGAGAAATATATTTAATTGTAATCTTCTTTCACACATTTGAAAGAAACTGGCATAATTTTTGATTGAGCATTTATTTTTTTTCTGAAATGTGTTTCTAGTATATTTGTGTAATCTTGACTGAAGAATGTTTCTTGTGGCAGGTTGGTTGTGTTTGTAATAATGCTGTGATAAATGGAGATACTTTATTGGGGCAGCCAACTGAAGGAGCCCTTTTATCTGCAGGAATGAAGGTAAGTTTCCAAAAATGCATTTGGTTATTAATGTGTTCTATATTAACAAAAGAAACATTTTTTTATGACATATAAATTATCTGAAGACTCCTGATGCGAATTGTGTAACGATTTTTTTTTAGTGAAAGTGAAATTGTTTTCCAATTTATATTTAGGAAAGAATGACTTAATTTTTTCTAAATTTTACTCTTCCTTTTAAGGACAACCCTAACCTGTCATTTTACTTTTCTCTTTGTAACTGCTCCATTTCAGTAAAAACTTGTTGCACTATTTGTCAACAAATAAAGTTAGTCAAATGTATTGTTCCCTAGCAATGTTGGATAATTTAGTTCTGGCTAGTAAAATATTAGATAATTGGAAAAGGCACTGTTTGTTATGTGTATACTGTAATGTTATTTTTGTAATGATTTTTTTTTTTAAATTTACTGACTGGATGGCTGGAAAGTCAGAATTTAATAATCTGGTTAATGTAAGAAATGTAGGCAAAGAAATTTTCAAGGATTAAATAACAGCATTGAATTAAAGCCTAATTTTTATGGCAAATTTATTTCATGTCTAAATCATTATTTATAACATTGTAATTTCATTCTACAATAATCTGTAATAATTCTTGTGAAGTCTTGACTGAAGCATTAATATGTATTTATAATTTTAGCATGGTATGTATGGGATTGCAGAAAAGTATGTTCGCCTTCAAGAATATCCATTTAGTTCAGAGCAGAAAATGATGGCTGTTAAATGTGTTCCGAAGTACGGTGAGGTATGGTAATTAGGAAAAAACTATTTTGAACATTACATTTTTTCATTTCATAACCAATAAATAAAAATCATCATCATTTGTTCAGACAAAAGAAGAAGTATATTTTGTCAAAGGAGCTCTTGAAAAAGTATTACAACAATGCACAAAGTACTCATCAAATGGAGTGTTACATCCTTTGAACACTAAAAAGGAGCAGGATTTTCTTGCAGAAGCTTATGAAATTGGCAGAAAAGGCCTGAGAGGTATTCTGGAAATAAAGGTGTTTTTTTTTAATTCAACTCTTTTAATGGGCACATTCTAATTTTTATTATTTTTCCAAATTTAGTTGTTGGAATGGCACGGGGCAATTCTCTTCAAGATCTTGTGTACATGGGACTTGTTGGCATATGTGACCCTCCTCGTCCATTTGTTAGAGAGTCCATTCAAACACTTATACAGTCTGGAGTGAAGGTTAAACTTGTAACTGGAGATGCTCAAGAAACTGCAACAGCTGTGGGTAAGTTAGTGATCCTGTCTGTAGGCAACTGTGGCCAATAGAATGTGGTGTGTGTTTGTTTGGGTTCATTTGAATCCCATGTAGTCTTACTTATTTACATGTGTGTTGTGGTATTGTGGGCCATCCCACCCTCTGCATTATCCTTCCCAAGATATCTTTTTATTTGTGGTGGCGTTGATGCATGCTGCAAATACACACACACACACACACACACACACACACACACATTCCCTGGTTCCTGCCCTCATTTTAAGTGTGGTGCTAGCATCACTAGGCATCATTCCTTACGGTTCTATAGATCATGGCAGAGTGCTACTTGAGCATGGACATTGTCCTTCCATCAGCTGAATAACAGTTGGCATGTAAGGGCCCAAGGGCTATGCTAGTACAGGTACGACAGTAATCACCAAAAAGTACAAGCTTGTTGGTCACTTCAGTGTTAGAGTAGGAGTCTGATGGCAATCGCTAAGTGAGTCAGTCACAGCTGGTAGGAGGAAGATTCGTGAAAAGTTCGAAATGGATGGGATAGTTCCTCTAGAAAAGTACCTTAGGAGAGGTAATAGGTCCTTCTACTTCTACCTATACTTACTTTTAGAATAAAATTAATGTTGCATGCATCACCTGCTATATTATTTCAGTAGTGTAGATAAGTTGTGCCTCTGTCACAACTAGGGTTGCCACACATCATGATCAGGACATGAATTTTTGTCTGTCCTGATTGTTCTGATTTTTTAATATGTACTATCTATTTACAGTTTCATTTTTTAGTATAAAATATAAAGAATTAAAACTGCATTAGAGAAAAAAATCGCATTAGAAGTGAAATTCAATGTTTCTTTCTAAAAAAAAAAATTAGTATGTCATTCTCATATTTGTACAGGGAATATTGATACAAAATTTGGAAGAATCTTCGATAATAAAGTAGCCACAATATTTTATGTTTTTAGAAGCTTATTGTCCATAGTAGATTTAGTTCAGCCATATAAGGCACATTACTAAAGTGCAGTATGAATTTTACATAGAAGACATTGCGCTTTCACATTATAAACATTAATATTAGTTGAAAAAAGCACCTTAATTAGGCAGGTGCAAATACTACTCTTTAAAACACAGACCATCAAGGTTTGTTCTGACATCATTCGTGTGTATCTAAAATGGTGTGTCTTATGGCTTTAAACCTTAGTATTTGAGAAAAGAACCCATTAATTATTTGTATATCAAAATCTACAAAATTATTTTTTGGGGCGGTTCTAATGAGTACCCCCTGTTTCTGGTAAGGGTTGTGTATAGTATCTCAAATTTTATGTGAAATTAAATTGATTATTTTATTGCAAAGGTGTTGAACTTCGTTGGTTAATGTGTTGTGGATGTAGCCAAATGAAGTCATTAATCCCCCCCAGACTTCCAGCTTCTTGAGTTTTCACAGAGTTTGTAAAATACTGAAGTTAGGGTTATAAGTAATTGATTCTTCAAAAAGAGGTCTCTGAATACAAATTTTTAAAGATTTTGGTTAATGATATTTTGTGTGTGGGAGCACACATGTGTATATACGTATGTATAAGAGAAAGTAAAAATTCAGTAATTCATATCTTCCAAAAAATGTGGCAATAAATTAAATTATTTCCCTACTTGGTGTTTACCCACAATTTTTGGACAGCAAAACTTGGTGTATGACTATTTTTCACTTTTTTGAACACTAATTGGCCTGCATTCTTTGTGATAAAGAAAAAATTACAAATAAAAAAAAAGTTAAGATCCAAAAAAGTAGCGTTAATTACAGATAACAAAATATTGTACCATTAAGAGAAAACTCCATCAAAATCTATTTAGCATTTCAATTATTAGCCCTGACAGTCAATTGAAAATTGTAAATACAATTGAATGGGTTTTTGTACATATAAATAACCATATGAGATTATAACTCGTGCTGCTACAGAATGGCACATACTTTCCTGTATTAGTTTTCTATTTCCTTTGGTCTTGGCTAGCTACTCTTGACTTGCCACATACTCTTGCCAGCTTCCATCAATTGCCGCCAAAAGTACGCATTTTTGACAATTTCTTAATTGTGGACAAAAAATATTATTTTAAAAATTATTAAAGAACAGTAAACCTCATCCTAAATCGCAGTTTTCTTTGAAAAGTTTGGAGCCTTTTTAAGAAAGGCATTTAAGTGCTACTATAAATTCAAAATTTTAAGTTTTTGTAAAAATTCAAATGAAGTCATTTTAAGTACTTTAACTCACAAATACAATGGTGTTTACAAATAGCTGGAAATGTGCATATCAACGGTGTGAGAGATTATTCACAAAATTGACATTTGTGTATTTTTAGGAGAGAAAAAATACACTGAAATGAACTTATCATATTAAAGAGTACAATTAGCACTATCTGTTTGAAATGTTTGAAGAAAAATTTTGGAGCCGATTTTGAGAAAATGGCATTTGAGGGTTTCTGAAAATGCAGAATGTAGAGGTAGTTTTGACAGAAAATGAGTTTTCGGTAGACTTTGCTATTATTTAAAGCACATGTACTCATAATTACAATAACGTGAACAAATTGCCTCTAATATAAATATTTACAACGTGAGACAGACATACATTTTGAAAAAAAACACCATTTTCGGTATTAAGGGATCCCAAAATGTGTATTTTCATTGAAATCTCGAAATAGTTTTTCGCAGCACTACATAACTTTACCTATACTACAAAATACGTACGTATTCAACAGTTATTATGAAATTGCATATAGATTCTCCAAATCTATTGATGTAGGTGAGAGAAGGCAAGTAAGGCCAAAAAAAGAGGAAACCTTTTTGTTTGAATTCTTGGGACATCTTATGTATATTTGTTAATGAAATGTATCAATTTATTTTCAGCATCAATGATAGGCCTTGACACAATTCACCTGCAAGTGATGTCAGGTGATCAGATTGATACTATGTCTGAACATCAATTTGAACAAATCGTTGGCAATGTTAGTGTATTTTATAGAGTCACACCTCGTCACAAATTGTGCATTGTGAAGGTAAGGATTTTTTTTTAATATAAACAATATTATAAAATCTTGGAACGTAACACTAATTTGTCTACTTATGTAGGCTTTGCAGAAAAATGGAATAATTGTTGGTATGACTGGTGATGGAGTCAATGATGGTGTAGCCTTAAAAAAAGCTGATATTGGAATAGCAATGGGAAAAAATGGCACTGATGTTTGTAAAGAAGCAGCTGACATGATCTTGGTTAATGATGATTTTCATACTATCATGTGAGTAATTTTATTTTATAAAATGTTTATTAATTAATACTTTATTATTTTCCTCTGTTTTATTATAAATGTCTTTCAGTTCTGCTATTGAAGAGGGAAAAGGAATATTTTACAACATTAGAAATTTTGTGAGATTTCAGTTGAGCACTAGTATTGCAGCTCTCTCTCTTATAGCTCTGTCAACTTTGATTGGTATTCCAAATCCTTTAAATGCAATGCAGATTTTGTGGATAAACATTATAATGGATGGACCCCCTGCCCAAAGGCAAGTCTAATTTTATTCCTTGTGCATTCACTTTTTTTAAGTTTATGTAGTTAAGTCATTAATGATATTTGATTCTGTATTCCATTGTATTATTTTAGCAACATGTCTATTTTTTATTTTTTTGTAGTTTGGGTGTGGAACCTGTAGATAAAGATGTAATAAAACAAAAGCCACGTAATGTTAAAGAACCAATGATCACAAAATCATTGATAGTAAATGTTCTTTTATCTGCATTTATAATCATAATTGGAACTTTATGGGTATTCAAGAGAGAGGTGAGGAATTGACATTTATGATGAGTTATTTTAAGTATGGTGATATATATTTAAGTACTAATGAAAATTATTGCATTTCAGATGAGTGACAATAACATCACACCGAGAGACACTACTATGACATTTACTTGTTTTGTCTTCTTCGATATGTTTAATGCTCTTAGTTGCCGATCTCAGGTAAGAAACTTGAGCCAAATCTGTAGGTTCCTACCATTAAAAAAAGTCTCAAGTTTTGAGTACCTCACCTTACAGAATCCATATTATGTGCTTACAGGCAATAATTGTTTTTGTTTTTGTCCTTTTTGGTAATTGTTAAAAATTGTTTTTCAGCAAAAACCAAAATTATTAATTTAAGTACCAAAGTTGCAAAAATGCGTTTTATGTGAACAATAATTTCATATTTTTGGGTTCAGGATGCCAAACACATTTACATAAGTCCTGTAAACCTAGAATACACAATTGAAAATATGCGTTAGGTTAAAAATCTTAGTAATTACAGTGAAATGTCATTATAACAAACCCTGATGTAATGAAAATTTTAATTTTACAAAATTATTTTCAGGTCCCCAACAGTTTGTCTATGGGTTTTATGTCAAAGATTCCTCTGAAATAAAAATCAGAACTTTAACAGTATAGGTATTGTGGTGCGTTATCGTTTGCATTTCTAATGAAGTAATTATAAACGTTGTCATTGCCAACGATAGTATTTATTACAAGAGCAGCTTTCGATGGCTTAGCCATCTTCATCAGTTGTCTAGTAGAAGAAGAAAACAAAACATTAAAATGTGAATGTTCTTTTGATTTTACAACAAAATTATAATAAAGGTTACTAATTTACAATTTTTTGGAAAATATATTTAACATTCTAGAAACTGGAAGAAAGAAGTGTGTGTGTGTGTGTGTGTGGGGGGGTGGGTGAATGAAATAGAATTAGGACACGTAAAATTTGAAACAGAAACACATAGAAATGTAAGTTGAGCCATTCCTTACCTCCTGAGGCTTCCATTCAGCAGGTAAGGAATGGCTCAACTTACATTTCTATGTTTTCTGTTACAAATTTTACGTGTCCTAATTCTATTTCATTCACTTTCCTTTAGTATTAATGACTCCCCCCCCCCCACTTTTTTCTTTCTTCCAGTTTCTGGAATGTTAAATATATTTTCCAAAAAATTGTAAATTATTAGTAACCTTTATTACAATTTTGTTGTAAAATCAAAAGAATATTCACATTTTAATGTTTTGTTTTCTTCTTGTACTAAATAACTGATGATGGCTAAGCCATCGAAAGCTGCTCTTGTAATAAATACTATCGTTGGCAATGAAAATGTTTATAATTATTTCATTTGTTTAACAGATTGAAATTTGTCCATGGCACGTAGAGCAATGCACTTCTGAATGGAAGTCATGTTATTGGTTGGGTTGAAGCACAAAGTTTAACAAACAAACGTTATGATTTTGTTTCTTCTTTCTGTTTATAATTATTTAATCAAGAATAATAATGTCCTCTAATATTAGTTTTGTTCATTTGTAAATTTATGTTTAAATAATTTATATCCTCTGAAGAATTAAATTTATTCAATATTATGAAATTTCACTAAAACAAAATAATTACCAAGGTCCCGAAACTTCCACAATTTATACCCTGGTATTTTACTACATTTAGTGATAACTTGTCTTTTCTGTTTTTCTGTTCCAGACAAAATCAATTTTTACCATTGGTTTATTCAGCAATCGCATGTTTCTCTTGGCAGTGACACTATCAGTTGTAGGGCAAATGCTTGTTATTTACTTCCCTCCATTGCAAATGGTATTTCAGACAGAAGCACTAACTTTCATTGGTGAGTTATTGACAGTAATAAATTACAGTATTGCAGAATTTTTTTGTATTGTTTAGTATACTTGTTATTTATATTAATAATACAACACAACTTAACTGTTATTGTGAATTTCAGATATCCTATTCCTTGTGGGGTTGACATCTACAGTATTCATTATCTCAGAAATCAAAAAATTTCTGGAGAGACAAATGGAGAAACGCCAGAAGTCCATGAAATCGGAACTTGACTTTGTATGACAATCAAGGAAAACCAGAAGTAAGGCCCGTGTAGATTAAAAATTATTTATGAACTTGAGGACTTATCAACAAACATAAAAGTCTGTCATAAATAAGAGGAGGGCTTCTTCTGGTATGGTAAACAAAATGAGAAATTGCATCCAAGACATCTGCAGTGTTGTGGAAATATATCCTGATGATGTCAATAAGATGGAAACTTTTTTCTGTGATTTGTAGTTTTATGTTATGTTTTGTAAGTAGCTTTGCATTTTGTACAGCATCTGAAGTCTAAAATAATCTTGATGCCATTCCATCAGATTTTTTTAGTCAAACATCGGGACATACTTCTTTCAACATGCAAATATGAATAATGAATTACTCTGATGGAGGATCTGTGATAAAAAGGAAATCAGTAATTCACTGTAATTTTAGTGAAATACTTTCTTTTAAAATGAGAACGAAGTGAAAGTATCGACTCTTTTGGGAAAAAAGAGCATTATTTATCTGTTTATGGTAAAATGAGAAAGTGATGCTTGATTTGCCTAATAAGCGATTTTATGAAAATATTGATTGTTAAATGATGGACAGTTTTGGAAATTCAGGTGTTCCTAATGTAACCGTTGGGTAGAATTATTCAAAATTTATAATAGTTGCAAACATCATCGGACAGAATACTGTATACGTTATCCTCTCTTTGATTTGTATTCATACCTATCTCAAAAACCATGAGCGTGTGTGTGTATGTGTGTAAAAACGATTCATGTACAATTTATTACTTGCTTTGTGTAACTGGAAGTGTCATTTCTTTATCAATGTTTATTGTAGTTCACAGCAGTTATAGCTGTATTGGTAAATGTCTCCTAAACTTTTCCATTGTTCTCTTAAAACCAATGTTACCTCTTTCTAGTAAGAGGTTATATTATAGGGTTCCTTGCAATATTTATTCCTTCAGTAATTTATTGGGTAGCAAATCACCTTTAATGGACTTTTTTTCTGTTATCTGCTTCATCCAAATGTAATTACATGGAAGCATTTGTTGTATTGCACTGTTATATACTCTGATAACTTGTGTTTGTTTGGTCAGTATTATCTGTTTAGATCGATGGGTAGATATTTAGATAAGTCACATATTACTGAGAAATATATAGATGTTTGTATACTTGTTCTATTAAAAATGTATGATGATACGACAAATTGTGAAAGTAGTTATCTAGAAGTAATTCTTATTGTAATTGTATTTAATTATAAAGCTGAGTTGAAATATTTGTAAACAATCAAATTTAACATTTATATAGATTTGTGATAAAGCTGCATTTTTCATGTAGTATAGTGTATAATACGTTCAATTCTCTCTCGTTTGCATTTAAAGCACTAATTACTATCTATTTAGAACTTTTCAACAAAGTATGGTGCAGAGAAACACTTAGTGTATTAACTTGACTGGAAATTAAGGAGGAAATTGTGGAGTTTGAAATGTGTGCATACAAGTACATAGGAATATGTATTGTTTTATGCATGTAACTATACATGTGTTACAAAATTTTAATTTTGAAAAATTGATAGTATTTTTCTGTATGAAATGCACATAATTATTCTGGAAATTTGCATATTTTTTGGGCTGCTTTTCAGTAACGAGGGCTCAAGTTATTGTACTTTTCTTACCCTTGTGGAGAGCTTTGTGTTGCTAAGTTTTCATAATTTCTTTCACAGCACACTTGGCTGTTTAAGAACTTTGAATTTAAATAGCATTTGTTGACATTTACTTAAAGTTTATCTAAGCTTGTAGTCTGAGTGCTCAATAATATAGTTCAATATTGTTGAGTATAAATGGTTAGAAAGGACCAAATTTTGTCCTAAGAGTCAACATTTTCTGTAATTGGTTCTCACAACTTAATATTAATTTTTATTGATTCTACTAAAAAGCAACTGACGTGTGATTTTTCCAGTTATCATTCAGATACAATTATCTAGTTATTACAAGCAATGGGAACAAATTATTGGACCCACTTCTAGAAGATATATTCACTCACTATGGTGTGTTGCTGTAAAATTGTCTTTTGTAGAATGTAGGCTTTTCTGGAGCAGAAACTATACCTTTTTGCAGTTGTATGCAGTTTTGGATAAGGGAACGTGGTACTTAATAAAGAGAAGAGGTTTACATAAATCCAAACACTTAGGTACTTTAATGTATAGCACATTGAAGACGCTGTCTAGAAAAGTTCATAAAATATTTTGTTGTAGATATTGAAATTTTGTGTGCTTTTGTCGTATTGGTTGTGTCTTAGATTTGAGGTGTTATAACTGCGATTATGAACAAAATCTTTAGTTAAGATTTAATCTTGTACAGAGTATATGCATTAAGTGAAGTAGCAAAAGGCTAAATGAGATTCTTTCCACTAGAGTAGCCTGTACAGGATGTTAAATATTCAGTAGCCTATTTTTCTACTCTAACCTTCCATGGCCTTGAACATGAGTGAGGAAATGTTTTCAGTGGCAGTTATTTGAGTTCATTGTTGATGTTTGCACTTTTTCAAATTGTTTAATGATTGTTGCATTGTTTGTAACTAAGATGTTTTAAAAAAAATGCACAGAAGTGAGGATTGTATTTCCAGGTGCTCTCTAACGCTTATTTGACATTTCTGAAATAAATTGTGATTAGATCCATCATGTCGGATGCGGTTAGATGTAAGGCCAGGGTTGCATTCTGTTTTTGATTGCCAAGTTTGTGTATGTGTGGCCCGTAGACCGAGAAAGGTTTCTTTAAGGAGTGGGCAAAGATTGTATTACATAATTTTTGGTTCATACGATGTGAAAGAAGAGTAATTTATTTTTGTGAATTGTGTGGTAACTAAGTTATATTAGCACAATGCTTAATGATAATTATTGTTACATTAAGATTTTTTTGCTGTATTTCTCATTTTGTTGTATGGTAATTTGCCACAGCCATACTAGTAAAATACACAACTTCCTCTAAGTTGTATTTTTTTATTATTGAAGAACCTCAATATTTCTCCCCAAATAAGTTACATATTGCTGATACCTAGAACTAATCATTACAAGTCTTAAATAAATTTGAACTGCTGTTTCAAGAACACTTTTCATTATACTGCAGAGAAATAGCCAAATACTTAAAAAGTATGCTTTTCACTTCAGGTTCTCCATAGTTAGACATCTGCTTTTAACTGATTGTTGCTCAACTGCACTTTTTCACCAGGTTTAAAAGCAGGCATGCCCAGATAAGGACAAGATGCACATCTGAAGGCATCTCCTAAGTAACACTGAAAGAAAAAGATAAAACATTAAATGCAAATCTATCCATATTAAATGCACACCTACCCTAGTTGGGAAAAGTAAGAAAAGAAAAAAGGGGGGGGGGAGGGAAAAAAGAGACTAACCCCAGTTGATTAGAATTGTTTTTAAACTCAGTGATAAATTAATGCGGATGTAAAAGGTCACAAAGGCTGATATTATAAATATGCAGGGGTCAATTAAAACATTTTTTTTTAATGAGCCAGTAAAGAGAGAACTACAAACAAATAGCATAGTTACAAGCATTGAGTCTTACGAACTTCATGGTTGTAAGTGAAACTCAACATGAAACCCTCGGACCTCCTGTTCAGAGGCACTGCAGTTACATCTAATAACCCCTGAAGCACTTAAGTCTGTGTTGTTGGTGAGTGTGAATCCGACCATTAAAAGATACGTACATGATAAAATTTACCTTCATAGAAGTATGCATTTTATATCCATTCATTGAAAAGGTTCAATAATAAATTATTTCTTGGGAAGAAAAAAAAAATGCCAGGCTTGCACAGGCGTTTTAAGTTAATAGTTGATGCATATAAAAAAAAAAATCAAGTAAATATAGTAGATTATGTATGTGATGCAAATACCAAAATAAGTTAATGAAAGGTGTGGAGATATCAATTATCAGAGAAAGGAAGAGCTTGACTGCCTTTGTTATGAATGGTATCAAGTACTCATCTCCTGGGTCCAACATAATCAACTAATTACAAAAGGATGGACAGAAACTTGCACTCCTCAGTGGAAATGAATGTGTAAGACAACTTAACGTTAATGTTTTCAAATGTTTATGCTCATGTCAATTGAAAAATATTTCCTAAAGAACCTCATACATTTCAGTCAAAGTAAAGGTCTGATGTTATAATACATTGAAAATATGTCTAGTTCTAACTTAAAGTTAAAAAGAAGATTTCACCTGGACCAAAGGAAAAAGCCTCCATTACATCAGTATCATATCCAATAGCTTTAGTTATTCATGTGAAATGGTTCAAATATCTTTTACAACATTTTTATTTGCTTTTACAGCATTTTAAAAACATTTTAAGAGCACTTTCATGATTATTTTTGGTGATGTTTTAGGTCATCAAAATTCGCCCCTAGTGTGGAAAGTGAGATTGTGCAAAGTAGTGAGGCAGTGATATTTTTTTTTTGCTTTGTAACATGACCATGCAAACATTTTGTGTCCCACTGTGACCTCATTGCAGAAAAAATTGTTTTTTCACATCTTAATGAAAGACTAGCTTTATGCACAGTTATCTGTACATAGAATTGGAGACTTTTAAATGATTGTAGAAAAAATACTTTTTTTTAGACAATACTTTAATTATGGAAATCAAATCAAACAACAACTGGAGTCTAGTTTTGGAATGGGAGACGAATAAGGTAAATAATGTTCTTTAGAAATAATATAAGCTAATCTCAAGATCAGAGTATCTTCACCCATCCTCCACTGGGAAAAAAGATACAATGTCATATTGATACTTACATTTCCACAAGCTGATGTTTGGATTTGATTAGATTGTTTTGGTTGTCCAGCAGTTTCACTCTCCAACTCTTCAGCCAATCCGCATGTACAATTCTTACATGCTTTTCTCTTTCCAGTGGTTCCACACACTGTAAATATTTTCATAAAGTAAAGTCAGTTTGTGGTAATGTGATAACTAGCACATAAGTTTTTGTAGATAGAATTTTCAAGAATAGATACTCCATCACTAATAAAAAACATTTGGCTACTTCTAAAGAAATTAACATTTTATTTTTACCTTCTTGTAAATGACCTATGTAATATAGAGAAAGTATTGCAATACCTATTTGTGAAAACCACTAGCATTTATAACGTTCACAGAATTTTCATTATCATTGATATTTCTACACAGATATAGTTATGTTGCGGCTCCTTAAATCTGAAACTAATATTTGAATTTTTGGGGATACTTACATAAGCCTACATGATACCTACTACATGAAGTAGAATGAAAAATGTAATGTAATGTGTTAATTTTTTGTTTTGCCCTGATTAATGCCAAATACACTTCTAAAAATTGTACGGGTCCAATTTTCATTTAAAAAAATTAAATTTCAAATAATTTCATAAGAAAACAAAACAGTATCAGACTTTGTTTTTTAATGCAATCAATTCCTAAATATAAGACTAATACTTTCATGTTCACTATTTTCACAATAAAATTAATTTTTAGTAATTTTTTAAGAGAATTTTCTGAGGTGTCAAAAATCAATGGAATATTGAGAAAACAATTCAAATCTGTTTGGCTGTATTGTCTCTGATGGCTGTGCACTGGCATGATAAATAATTGATCTTGGTTTTTGTCTCGGCAATATATTTTTATGTTCTCTGTTATTTTGAATTTTCTAAAATTTAAGATATGCATTTTTTCCCAAATATTTTGAGCATTATTTCTTTAAAACTTTTTACAGAGAAGAGTAGGTTTAGTTGGATAGAAGGTACAATAATATATTTTGTAACCCTTACTTCAATTAATTCAAGAAAGTATGTGCTATTGCAGTACCACTAGTTATTAAAATGTAAAACTGATACAGAATATTCTAAACATTTTACTTTCAAAAAGAGTAAAATATTGTATTATTGCATTGATCTCATGTTCTATTTTTTTCAACAAAAAACACTGAAACTTTAACAATGTTATTGTTTCTAAGGATAAATCTCAGTTCCTAATGAATGTGATGGCTTATGAGTGGAGGGGTAAATTCAAAATTCACCTTCATCATTAAAAATAAATTACAGAAAGTTTTAAGATTTTTTGTGCCAATAGGACCATGTTAAAAAATCTAAATTCTTATGAGTTCACAATTATATTGTGATGATAAATAGAGATTTAAGGGAATTGAAATATAAAAAAGAATCTTGTCTATACACAATAATGTACTAAGGAAATTTGAAAGCTTTTTAACAATTTATAACAAACAATTAGCACAAAACACTGCTCCTGGCTCTTTGGCTAATATCAAAGAGTAGCATATTAAAAAACAGTAAGTGTGCTAATGCTAGATACAAATTACCCCATATTCCTGCACCAAACAGCATTGAGACAAAAATGCAGAAGTTCCTAGATTATGATATACAGTAAAACTTGTCTAAACCAGAATCATTTGGGTCCTACATTTTCTTCTATCTTGTACATATTTCCGGATTATTGAGGTTTGCAATAAAACCTGCCAATTCAGAAAACGCAATTGTTCAAAGATGGAATATGTTGTATGAGTAGTTTATCTCACCTAAAAACTATGTTTCAAAGACACAAAGACATCTTGGGAGAGGCAAAGAAAATGACATATACTGAAATGCAACAATAAGTCTAATGAAGCAAAGAACTCCATAAAAAGTAAAATAAATATTATTTTCTTCAATATTTGTGGAAACAGATGAATTTATCTGATGAATAAAGCTTCAGATATTCGCCTAGGTCCTTGTGAATATTGTGGTAACCACATGCAAAAAATTTCTTTTAACCACTCATTCTTGATTTCGCCTTTGATTTTAAGAGGTCATACACTTGAGTTTTCCCAACTTCAAATTTCTTTATCAAAATCTTGACAGAAGTGTTGCTTAGTTTATGTTCTTCAATTAGTCTAATTTTCTCTCCAAGAGTTAACATTTTCAATTTTCCCCCTGACATCATAAACACTTGGTTAGCATAATACCTGCAAATCGCTGAACTGATTGCTGAATAGTAATAGTTTAGAACCACTGAACCCAAAGCAGGCACTTCAAGAACTATGGAAGAATCACTCTTTGTGTCTCTCCTCCTTTACACAGAATTGTGAAGGTCTGTGCTATTACAAATACACAGTGGCTTTCGCACTAGTAGAGCTAGGAAAATACAACGGTCTGATGAGGGTAGCTGAGAAAGCAAATAGGCAAGCACAGCTCTGAGTACCTTGTGGTATGATCTCACCATTGACTTACAAGTCAATGTTCAATTTTGAAACTTGAGTTCTGAGATTTTTATCAATAAAGGCAGGTTCCCTTATCTAGGTTCTGTCTTATATACGTTTTACTGTAGTGGGAGAATCAAGGGCACATGTAACTAGCAACACACTTTACCATCATCTGTAACACAGAACAAATGTGTCCCAGAGCTTTAAAACCAGGCTTTTGTACCCCAAAGGAATACAACTTATGTTTTCTATGCTGTAATATACATAACGAATGTTTAACAACATATATTATGTTTTTAAAATGACCAACAGTACAGATTGCCAGAAACGTTGAAAGCTGGATTCTAGTATGAAGCTATTTTCACTTTTTCAACAAGTACTGGTTTTTGTTATTATTGTTTGTTGGTTGGTTTTTTGAATTTTTTTGGACCCTTCTGTCACATATTTTGAGATTCTGCTGTTTTGGGCTCTCTAACTATTCAGGATTTTCTGTAACAGAAAAGACAATCCACTACCTGCTATCGTAACATTTATAAAAGTCATCCATAATACACTTTAATTAATTTTAAATTTCCATTTTAATACCAAGATTAGCACATGGGGGGGGGCATGCAGGGCAGTATGTAGAAAATGAGTCCTATTTGAACTTTTATATATGTTTTTAGAGATGTTACTTTTCTCTATCATGCATGCATGCATTCCTCTACCATCAATATTTGAAATAGTGGTCTTTACAAAAAAAATTATCATGGAAAACACAGACACTTTTACTTTAAATTCCGATGTACACAACTACAACACTCGTCAAAAGGATAACCTACATGTTCCCCACTCTGAAACAAAAACTTCATCAAAAAAGTACCCAAATAGAGGGGATTTCACTTTACAACAAACTAAGCAATGATATTAAAGACATAAACACAATTCATACATTTAAAAGTAAATTGAAAGCTTTCCTGCTTAACAAGTTCTACAGTGTAAAGGAATGTTCAAATCACAACAATATTTCCCTTAAAAAAATATAAATAAATAAGAATTTCTTATCCCATTTCACTTTCTGTTTCTTTCTATTTCGAGCTGAAGCAAAGAAAAAAGAACTGGCATATCGCATCCTGTGACTTAGAATGAGAGAATGCCTGACAAAAAATTTCTGTTTCTCTCTGGATTCGCTAGACGCATTAGGTGCTGCAGTAGGACTACAAGTACAAATTGAAAGAAGAAAAAACTGGTCAAAACGTGCCTCCTTCTCCTCCTCACCATTTCAAGTTTTGAACATAGAATGTACTTATATTGTTAAATTTTATGTAGTTGCTAACAGAATTGATATCATGTATTGTTTCATTATCATCATCATCATCATCATCATTATCATCATTATTATTATTATTATTATTATTATATTAAGTAGTAGTAGCATTAAAATGACAATAACATCTTGAAATGTTAAATTATCTGCTACTAAAAATAATTATCTACTGTATAATATCATAATTTATCTGTAGCAAATATTGTAGAATAATCCCTCGGCCAATGACCCCATCTCGATCAGGTTTTGTTCAGTTCCCCTGGTCCCTTGAGCAAATGCTGAGATGGCCCCTTGTTTTGCTTCTGAACATTAATGAAACTTCGCTCTCTCCACCTAAGACATCATATTGACTCATCATACACAATTGTAATTGTATATATGATTCAATAAATATTATTATTATTTATTATTCTGGGTCCCCCAACTCCCTAGTGTGATGGGTGGTAAGAAATTAGCAGAAAATCAAAATATTCGTAAAATTAAATTGAGGTGACAATAGCCCCAGAACATCATTCTTTAATGCTTTATGGAACTATTGGTTTTAGATTGAATTCCAGTAAGAAGTCATTGTCACTTTGGAAGCAATGATTTGTAAAGTGTGAAATTTTTGCTTGGGCCCAACTAATGGCTATCATTAATCACAGTTCTCACATACATTTATAGTTTCAAAATTAAATTAATTTAAATTTCAAATGACATTTTCAGAAGAACATGCTTTACTAATTGAGAAAGTCACTGTCCAACCTTTGAGGGAAGATGGGTCGGGTTTCTTGAGATCACTGTCATCTAACAAAGTATCAGAATCAATTGTCTCAAAGTCATCATCTAAAGAATCCAGTTTCCAAACAGCAGCAACTTCTGATGGTGGTTTGTTTGCAGCAATGTTTTTAGCAAAGGGCAGAACAGCAGATGATCCGATCTAGAAATTTGACAACATTTTGGTAATTGTAATCTTGTTATTACAAAATCTGATGATTATAAAATAAATTCATTTTACCTCAAAATTTGGTTTCTTGCACTGTATTTCTACAATATTTAAGCTCTCACTCGTATTAAACACAGCCTTAAGAGTTTCTCTTTCATTTTCGTTTAATGAAATAGATTTTGGCTCTTTTATATCTATAAAACCTGCTAGTTTCAAGGTTGTGTGTAATTTCTCCACAGTTTTCAAAGATTTCTCATTATTTTGAAGAACTGTTGCCTCTTGGAGAACAACTGTGCCTTGAGGTTTCACAATTCGAGCTACTTCCCCAAGCTGTTGAACGGAATGAACTATGGACTGTGGAAAAAATACTCCAGACAGAACAACATCAAATGATGAAGCTGCATGTGATGCTAGAACATACATACATCCTTAACATAACACAGTCTGTTTGCACATAATTATTTCCAAAAACAATTAAAGTGATAATACTAACCTAATGACAACCTCCCAGCATTTTCTAATGAAACTTTTCCACTTGGACCAACCAATTGTTTAAGGTTTTCAACAACATCTTTCAGCTTGTTAGGGTCAACAGCATCTCCCCATACAATAAGTACATGGTTATCTTTACCGATAAACGGGTACATCTTGCTGAGAAAAGCTCACACCCAACTCAGCGACAATAATGCTCTCACCTTTCTCTTTGTTTCAAGTTCTTTTTCAAAATTCGTCGACTTGTTTCTTGCTATTCCTTACCGTGTTAGCACCAGGCACTTAGCACGCAAAACTCCGAAATGTGTACTGCTTTTAATATTGGTATTTACTTGCAGGTATTCCGATGACACAAACATTCAATAACGCAGCACTTATGTACATTATCGCGTATATTTAACACGCATACTTGTCGGTTTTCTTTACTCCGAAAAGAAGGTGATCTATGAACAATAAAACGTACTAAAAATTGCGTACAAAGGCTCAAAAAATTGCCATGTAAATATGCCGTATGTAGATATTGGTAGACGTGATGGGATGTAAGAAACAGCTGATCGTAGCCAACCTACGACAGTTAAAATATATGAAGAGTTTCCATTACTCGTTATCCGTCGTTATCTTTCTATGCCTTTTTTCTGGGGCTCTTCAGTTTATTGAAGTTATAATATAAATACTGAAACACAAACATTCTAATTTAAGTAATAATTATTATTTTCATAATTTCTTTGTCGAAAACGTTGAATTTGTTAAATTTCAACCACGTGGGTACTGCTGAAAAAATACGCAACAAAACGTAACCGTACGTTACCTATTATATTGATGGGGAGTGATCACAATTCGTGTTTATGAGGCAACTTTGAATGAAGTCGGAACTAATGATATACCATCATTATTTTTAATCTGGCTGTACTCTTTGATTGGAGCCAGAAACAATTACAAATTATAATGACCGTATTCCGAAATGTCAAAATAGCGTGATAACGAGCTGTTGGCATAGGTTAACGAATATAAGAAGTTGTGCGCTTTTTATACGCGAGTGATGTGTGTAATTATTTTTGGTATTTCCTTTTAATACAGGTTTTGAATTTTAACTTATTGCTATTAAATTTAGAAAAAAACATGCGATCACACAGGAATACTTCTTTCGAACAGTAACAACTAGAAGCTTCTTAAGTTTTCTTATATTATACACATCGTAGAAGAAGTATTGAGTATTTTTTAAGTTAAGATTTTTATTGGTTTTATTAAAACAATTCATTGTAATAATGCAAATGAATATATTTAGAGCCACAAGAAGACTTATATATTTACATGCAAATTTCAGATGTGGTTAGTAAATTTAATTTTCTGGAAAATAATGTTAAAAAAATATAAATGTTTGCAAGTGAGAAATTATAATCTGTTTTAGGAAAAAAATGTATGCATATGAGTGGTCAAAACATATCTGACAAGTTGGGGCGCCAGTTACAGGCACGAATAAAAGCAATGGGTCCTCTGACCATTGCAGATTACATGCGAGAAGTTTTAACTAATCCTACGTCAGGTTACTACCAACATAAATCTGCTTTTGGCCCAGCTGGAGATTTTATGACATCTCCTGAGATAAATCAAATGTTTGGAGAAGTGTGTTTGATTTCTCTTTTTTGTAGCTAAGAAGGTAAGTATTTTTTCATGCCACTGCCAATTGCTTTAAATTCTCTGATGGAGGTGATATTCCCTGAGGAAATAATACCAAACTGATATCCTGCAAATTTTAATTTTTCAGAGTTTTTATTTTCACTTTAGTTTCAGAAATTGGAAAACACCATAATAGACTACTAATGTTTCTATAGAAAATACAAGGAACAATTTTATCCTTGCTTTGGCCTGAATTTTGACATTGATTTTAAGTTTTTTTTGGCTACAGAAGATGAACCTAATGCCAAAAATACATTTTGACTCATTACCACTTTTAAAACTTCTGACAAAATCATGAATTTTACTTTAGATTAGAAAAAATTGTATTAGATTAATGATATTTGGTGTTCCTGAAATTTGTAAGTGTGAATGTTAACGCACCATTTGTCAATATTGAACCATTTTCCAGTACAAACACGGCCACCAATTGAACTATTATCATCAGCTCCAACTAAAAATTGGTAAACTGTGCCATAAGTGGGCATTATCGATTAATTTATAAGGGCCGGGAAGCATTTATCAAGGAATAGACCAATGGCATTTCTCAAGTATTTAACTGAAAAGAGTTAAATAAATAAAATTTTAAAAACACTACAATATTATCAGTAAACATAAAAATATAATAGTAAAAGTACCTTTTATTTAGTAAAGTCCATGTGTGTGTACTGCTCAATGAGGATTTTTATCTCAGTTTTGGATCAAACAAAAACATAGATGTTTACAGATTATGGCAGAGCTGGGAAATCAGGCACTCTTGCAACACATCTTTACCATCGCCCATAAATATAGCCCAAGTCTTAGATTTTATCCGATTCTGTTCCTCTCTACCTAAAATTATTATTTTAATGCATAAGTCAGTTTCAATAGTTTCTGAGCCAAATACGTTAAAACTATAGGTACTAAAAATGGCTAAAATGGGTTATGATTTTAAAAGGCTAAATCAAAGGTGTGAGTGTGGGGGGTGAATGCAAACTCAGCTTTAGAAAATAAATTTCGGTTGATTGGTTTTCTACAGTAGCCTGGACTCAGCATCTAATGTTGCTGATTTTTGCTGTTGATTAGATTAATACTAATTTCCTGCCAAAAATTAGAAGGTACTGTCTTGAAATGAAGTGATGAACATCTTTTAAGCTATTTGATGGAAGACAGCACCAGGGGCTGTAGATGATGTTTTCTGGTCAAAGCTCAAAAAAATTCCACATAATCCTGGTTATGAAAGAGGAAAGATACAAATGGAAATATCCAGACTATTACCTTTTAAAAAAACCACAATGACTTTTGTAATACATTACACAAATGTAAGTTTTTTGAAAGATCTCTCATGCCGTTAATATGCACATTTCCAGCAATTTGTAAATACTATTGTATTTGTGAGTTAAAGTACTTCAAATTAACTTTTTTGAAAACTCAGAAAATTTTTGTGAAAAAAGATTCAAATTTGGAATTGACAGTTGTGCTTAAGTGCTTTTTTTTTTTTTTAATCTCTCCTAATTTTTCAAAGAAAATTGCAATTTAGTACGTTTGACTGTTCTTTAATATTCGTAAAATAATATATCTGTACTACTATTAGGAAACGGAAAAATTAAGAAAATTTCCAAAAAAATATATTTTGGGCGGCAAAAGATGGCAGCTGGCAAGAGTATACCGAGTCCGAATAGCTAGCCGAGTCTAAAGGAAATAGAAAACTAATACGGGGAAGTCTGTGCCATTCTGAAGCACTACTAATTTTATGTTACAAATCTAAAAGTGTAATATTTTTAGATAAAATTTCAGTGAATCCGTGGTTCATTACTATATGTGTTACTATGGTGTAGGTGGCTCGGAGCATCGATTGATGGTTTGCAGTGCCTTCGGGAATCCTAGGGTTTAAGTTCCGTGTCAGGATTTTCGACTCTTAGATGGGTAGCTGGGTCGAATTTAGCTGTTGTCTGAAGGATAATTTTCGCGGACGGCTGGTCTGATCGGTAGTTTTCTGTAATTTCTACGATCAAACCAGGCGAATGCCGGTGATGTACCGTAACAAAAGAGCAAAGGAAATCGCGCGCGATCTTTCCTTTCTCTTCCTGTCACATGCACTCCATACACTACCACATATGCCGAGAGAGCAGTCGGATTCTTAGAGCGTGTACCTGCTGGGGGCGGAGCCCGGTTGGCGGGGGATATCCCCGCAAGCCAATGTATAGGTCGGTGCCGGATCTCGCTATCAAGAGGGGGAGATCCCTGCTGCCTTTGACAAAAATGCATTCACTACACTTACGAAACAAATGACCTTAGCAGTTGTCGCGTCCGGAAACGTCAATCAATTTGAACTTCATATTTCTAAATGCACATTTTAATGAGTCCTCAGGACACCATAACAAAGATACTTAGTTACTTGTTTGTTTCTGATGTTGGAATGCCTTTGCTTATGTGTTCCATATCAGCGATCATTCTGTTGTTCATTAATTGAAGTTTCTACAATCTATCTTGTGTTTTTGTGTTAAATCACAATATATGTTCATGAATCTGCCTTGTTAATGCATATAGCTTTCTAGAATTAGGGTATGCATGGTTATTTTATTGGAAATTAATTTTTGCAAGGAATACTTTCACCTCAAATATTTGACTCAGTTGGCATTGTTATGAACAAATACTTGCTAAGTATATATTAAATGCTCAATTAGTTGAGTGACACACTAATATATTTTTTAGTTAATTTCAGTTTGGTTTATAAGTGAATGGCAGAAAATTGGTGCACCAGCACCATTTCAGATTATTGAATTGGGACCTGGCAATGGATCATTGATGAATGACTTTATAAAGGTATTTATCTTTGAAGATGCAATGATGTTCAATTGGTACACTCGTATGGATGCTATATGGAGTTTCATTGCAGCACTAGTGGTCTAATTTACTCCAATTATAGCAGTAGTTGATTTATGACTCGTATCACTCTTTTATGAAGACAAAAGAAAAGAATTGTTTGCTTCCATAAACATTGGTATCATAGCTACAGTGTAGACGTACGTGGAAAATAATCATAGAAATAAATAGCAATATTTCTCACAGGTCCACAATAACTCTTGTAATCGTCATCAGATCCGGCGGGTAATGTGGGTATGGTGGGTAGCTACAACCTCATTAAAAATTGAAGGGGCTAAAATACCCACTCGGGATTTGAGATTTGAGAAATATTCTATAAGCGTCAAATTCCTGAAATGCCAAATTCCGCAAACGTTAAGTTCACTTTTTCTGCGCTGGAATTTGTCGACATGCGTATAGAGACAACTGGGGTAATTCTGGTAATGATCTTTATAAGTACTTAAATATAATAAAGAAGCTTCATTTTGCAGAGTAAACCGTTTGTAAATAATTATTACATGATTAAGCAAAACGAAATAAAGTTTCTGTTTAATTTTGTAGCGACCCGAGACCGCGCGATGGTTCGCATCATCGCGAAACTCTTGAAGTTATTTAACTTATCAATGTTTTGTCGGCAACATTCACCTGAAATCCTTTTAAAGCCAGTTGCTAGCCGCGCGCCTGTGTCTTTTCTTCAGTTAATCGCGAGCCTTGAATGGGGTCTGTAAAAGACGTCTCGTATTTGGAGAGGCAGCGCACCTCGGTGGGTGAGGGGTTAGCTTACTTAGCCATTGAATTCTCAGTGCGCGGGTTCGATCCCGGCCGAGGTGCGTGGATTTTAGAAGGTCGGAAAATCCACAGTAGCCATGTCATTGTGACAAGGAAACCTGGCGAATGCCCGGTATCTCGCCCTAATATCTCGCCCTAACGAGATCTCACTTTCTTCAAAACGGCTAGTTCGGATGTAGTTAACCGAGACCGACATGTGGTGGAGAAAGTGAAAGTCACACCCAGGTGTATCAGGGGACCGCCTGCGAGTCGCGCCTGCTCCAAAGGTCCCCAGACCCACGTTTCTGAGAAGTTAGGGTTTCAAGGAAGCTTGTGTCGAAAAAGAGGCTGGCATCCAATTGCTTTGCCCTCTTAGGGGGATCACCAAGGATCGCACGCGATCTATATTGCAATAGCTCAATTTTTCTAGGGTGGCCTCTCGGATTCGCGAGTACAGTGGGAAGCTGAAAGGGGTTGGGGAGGGAGCCAGGAGGTGGCGCTCGCTCACGTCTGCTCATACCAAAACATTAGTGTATTGTACCGCACGTGCCAGCAAACCTGGAAATTAATTTGCTTTACTGTCTTCGTTCAGTAGTGGAGAAACACCAAATTCACCTGATCGCCCAGCACTGCTCTCATCATCTACATCTTTTCCAGTGACCCTGATTCCCGTTTCCTCCTTATCATAACTTGCTTTACTGTTACTCATTGCTATCGTTTGTGCCGTTTCCAGTAAAAATAACGATTTCTTGATATGGTGCATTAAAACGTTGTGCAGCGACGCACTCTCGCATTGAAACAGCTGAGAGCAGATTCCCTGTTCTTTCTCTCTTTATTCGGAGTTGAAAAATTAATACGATTCTCCTGATTAAATAGAATTAATTTTCTTATTAATTCTGCAAATAGATACTTTCGAAACCAGTAGCAGCAGCCAAGAACTGCTTTGACATTTTTAACACTTTCTTTTGCTTCTCTCTTCATAAATTGATATACTTTTACGACTTGATGCGTCTCATTGCTACTGACTTCCTTATGCAACTTGCTCTGAACCGGACGCATTGCAATAATCACGTAAACAGAACTTTACGAGTCACGCACAAATGCTTCACTCTAGTAGGAAACGCAAATGCAAGCTGACACCTCGCGGATACGAAAAGTCAGGGCCAATGTTTTATACGACTGGAGTAGGACTGTCAACACATGCTGGGAAGGGACACACTCCCCCAAAACCGATAAGTTTGAGGAATGGACTCTTCGGTAGCGCTGAGCCCATTTTGCTAGGCAGCCCATTTCGACTTGTCAGGTGCTGTAAGTAAACAAAATTTCTGCTACTGGGCATCAGAAAACCTTGAGAAACTTCACCTAATGGTTACTTCACAGATCTCGTTTGATAGTTTGGTGGCCAAATTTATGCGTGGGTCCGTAATTGTTTGAAGATGGGCTAAGATTAGAGTTACTTCGTTACTGTCAAATGATTGATACCTTCGACCAAAGTTAAACCAATTTTTTGGGGACTATGACGAGGGAGAAGTCTGGTTCCAACACGTCGGAGGCAGCTCACACTTCGCGTGTTCTCCAGCAATTTTGAGTGTGTTGTTTCCTGGACGTCTTTGCGAGGAGCCATTCCCTGGCCTCCAAGGTCTCCCAATTTATCACTGGGATTTATATATTTATTTGGGGACACATAGAAGCGCAAGTGTACAAACATCGCCCCACCACCCTGCAATCATTCAAGGAGGCAATCGCAGGTGCAGTGTCTATCATTCCAATGGAAATGACATGAAAAACTGTGGGCAGCTTCCGAGAAAGGCTTCGTCGATGTGTCAACAATGGAGGACGCCATTTAACGGATATACTTTTCAAAACAAAGTAATGTAAAATGGCATAGTATTTTTTGTTCATAAATAAGTGTTTTTTCTGTACTACCTTTGTAAATGCCGTGTGAAATCTGGGAGGCCTTTTGCCGGACCTCTACAAGGAAACTCCGTATTATTGCGTTACATTTCTTCAGTTGACACTTCGTATTTATTAATCATCGAATTCCTATTTTGAATTAACGGCGGGAAAAATCTGCATGTATGCGCATTAGGTTACTTTCACAATACACGTCTATGGCGGCAAATCTGCGTGTACGGAGGTAAACTAGTAAAGTGGGGCAGATGGATAAATTTGTGTTGCGACGGAAAATAAAAATAAAATAAATAATAAAAAACGAGGAGAGCGAGACAATGTCGTTAGGCAACACAGAGAGGAGAAATCGTCATCATTTTCTGCCGAAAATTCGCCGTTTTCTGACGCACTGGAGAAATCTGTTTGTCGATTTGTACGATAAAGAGATGATGAACATCAAAGCACACGACGATTTTCACTCTGAAGTATTTACAAAGGCGGTGATAGAAACAAGCTATAAATCCACCTACGAGAGAAGGTGCCCGCCAGCATGAGTGTCGCTCTTACCACCAAGTCAAGTTTGAGAAGGCAAAATATTCTCGAGGATTGGGGCTGGACGAATGGCACATACGTGCCCTATTAAAGTAATAGAAAATGCACCAAAAGAACCCTTCCTTTATATAAACAAAGGGCATACTGATGGATGTAGCAGCAGCAAATCCGACCTGAAGGGTTCGTCTTTAGGCAAACAATTCAGAGCCTGCGGGTGTCCCTGAAGCGGACGACGCTTAAACAGCCTTCCCCGTCTCGCCCACTGTGCCCGCTCAGTGCGCACTACACGGAGGATGAGCATTTCGGGTTGCATAATGGGTTTGACGACTGACGTTTTGAAAAGAAAGCAACAATTTTTCGATATCAGGGAACAGCAAAACGTGTATTTCCGTTGAATTCTCGAAATCGATTTTCTGCAGCATTACAAAACTTTCCATATACTCCGTATATACGTACATATACGAGAAAGTAAAAACGTACAATGTTTTAAATTTTTGGTTAAGTTTTAATTGTATTTTGATCAATAAATACGAGAGTATGCAACATTTAGGCATTTAAACACAAAATAGGCTTTTATTAGTAAAATAGGCATTTATAGACACTATAAAATTCGCCCATAATACTCCTAATGCCTCGAAATGAATAACACAAAATATTGCATTTTCTATTGAAGGAAAAAATAGGCAAAAATCTGCTTCTTTGTTATTACAAAGGTGTAGTCTGACAGGCTACGCGGGGTAAAAATAAAGGAAAAACTCATTTTTCATGAAACATTAAATTTAATGAATTGAACATATATGATAGGTATGGATTTACAAATACATTTTAAAGGAATATATAAATAAACCTATATGTTTTGACTCTTTCAGCAGACACTTGCTTGGTGCTGATCACACATGGCATTTGAAAAGCGTCCTCAGAAATACCTCGTCATGCGACCTTTGTTATGATCGCCATAGTCCCATTATGATTGCTAAATGTTCAGAACAAAACGCAAATTCTTCAAGACAAGGATTTTGTATTCATTATTTTCAGTATAAGGTAAAAATATCACTGACGTAATTACAAAAGCGTAGTATACTGGGCGACGCGTGTTAAAATGGCGTAAACTAGAAATAGGCACGCGCATAAGGTTACGTGTATTTCACTGGCTAGTCACACAATGAGGGTACCCCGAGTTTGAAAAACCATGAGTGAGAGGAAAGAGGTGGGGAAGCTTCCGGCACTACTTGACGCCTTCATAATCTTAACCAAAACCAAATGCAGTCGAATTATTAAAAACATTAGTAGTCAATTGAATAGTGACCATTGTACCAAGTTCTGCACATAAATAAATATATTTTGTATTTCATTTTGCAGGTTTTGGTGCATTTTAAAATCCACAAAGATGTCACAATACATCTTGTTGAAGTTAGCCAACGCTTAGCCTCCGTGCAGGCAGAGAAACTAAACGTTAATCTTCAACACGAAAAGAGTTCTGCTTCCACAGCCTGTTACCAGAGAGGACGTACAAATAGCGGCATCAATGTAGCGTGGTACAGTCATATAGAAGATGTTCCTCGCAGTTTCTCATTCATTGTTGCAAATGAATTCTTTGATGCCTTACCTATTCATAAATTTGAAGTGAGTTAAACTTTTCAAACAATTTTAAGTTTATTCACAGTCGATGTACGAGTAAATATTCCACTTTCAAAAATGTTTTAGAAAACTGACAAAGGATGGAGAGAAATTTTAGTTGATGTCCATCCTGAACAGGAAAACGTTTTTCGTTATGTTCAATCAAGGTTTCCTACCCCAGCTACAATGTTTATTAAGGTTAGTGAATTATTATTATTATTATTATTATTATTATTATTATTATTATTACTATTATTATTATTATTACTATTATTATTATTATTATTATTATTATCATTATTATTATTATTATCATTATTATTATTATTATCATTATCATTATTATTATTATTATTATTATTATTATTATTATTATTATTATTTGCGTATGACCACTACTTACCACGCATCACATTTCTCTCTCCTAGGCCCAATTGCACAATATGTACAATGTATTCTACCCTATAGAGATCAATGTGTAGAATTATAAGGATCGGCCTTCTTTTGACTGCATCCCTTGGTTAAGACAAGGTTGTTAGCGTTGAAAATCAATTAGGGAGTGATAGGATGATATTATTATTGGGATATAGACCATTACTGACCACGTTACACGTTATCTTCCTTGGCCTAGTCATTTATCCCGGAGACATTAACGTGTGTCATTACAGGGATCAACTTTTTTCGGCCGTATCCCTTAGTAATACAAGGTTGTTACGCATTGAATGACGTATTATGGGGTGATATGATGATGAGTGAAGAAACAATCACAAATACGATCATGCCTACGCGGGACTCGAACCTACAGCCTCCTCGGCGCAGACGACGGCTGCCGTGGCATGGAGGCCGACTTTCTTCTTCTTCTTCTTCTTCTTATCATTATTATTATTATTATTATTATTATTATTATTATTATTATTATTATTATTATTATTATTAATACTTTTCTTCTACATCACGACTAAGATGTAATGAGTCGGCTGAATATAAAATCTACTCCAGGTTCCAACCAGTTGCCTAAGAAGCAAAACTAGTAACTGTCGGTGCCTCTACAACACTTTGCGCAAAATGTGGGCTGTTTCAAATAAAGTAATTTCTTGCACTTTCCAATCTTTTGAATGACCTGGGAGTTGGACAAGTTCTTACACATTTTGCGGAACAAATCCCAGAGCCCCGATGACTGTCGGTACGACCTGTGCTTTCGGCCCCACATTCGGCTGATCTCGATTTCCAAACATTTGTATTTAAGATGTTTCTCTGCCTCTTTGGTTACCACGTTTTGATCGCAAGGCACAGCAACATCTACAAGTAAACACGATTTTTCTCCAAATCTCGGATAACAATATTCGGTTTGGTTGCTGCTATCGTGCGATCCGTTTGAATTTGTTGTTCGTACAATATTATAGAGCCCAACAGATGCCACCGGTTTTGGTGAGTGTTTGTACCACTTGGGGCGTGTGTTTGGGACTTTGAGGGCGGTACAGATCTGCCCGTGGAGGTAAATGTACACCCCGTCGTGTCTTTTCAAGTATTCGGTCTTTGCTAGAATTGGACAAGCTGAGACGATATGATCGATGGTTTGTACTTGTTCCTTGCAGATACGGCATTTATCGTCTTGGGAACCACTTTATCATAACGTGTTCTCAACGCCTGACCCTGAGCAGCTATTCGAACTAAAGTCATTCACGACAGCAGAATTTGGAAGAGAATCGTTTCATTCTTAGCAAACACTTTAAGATCCATGTAAAACAAATGTAATACTGATCTTTCATCACCATGGAGCTTGTAACCAAAGTCAGCTTGCGACAACTGTCTAGATAGTGGGATCAAACTAATGCAAAACAGCAGAGGGGGGATAGCGAATCTCTTTAAAAATACACCTGCTGATCTGAATAGTTCTTGGTTCTACAAATTCCTTTCAGCTGTATATTAGTAAGCTGGTACTCCACGACTTCATACTAGCCTTGCATAACTCAATAAGTCTAGGATGAAATCGATAGATCTCCGGGGTCTTCAAAATATAATTGTGACAAATACACTGTCAAAGTCCTTCTAGTAGTTCCAAGCCATGCTTAAATTACGCTTTCGTTTCTTTAAATAATTCAAGATGACTTTATTTAATAGCAAGATTTCCTTGCAACCATAAGAACGATTACGACATCATTTTTGTTCACCTGGTAACAGATGGTTCTTCTCTAGGGGCCTGGACATTTTTTCTAGCTGTGGCTGCAGTACTGCAGTACAGTACTGGCAGACAAGCGATTGGCCTGTAGTTTTTCACCAAAAAGCTGTCTCCCGCTTTGTGTAGCAAATACGTGATGCCGCATGTGAGCCATTTCAGGAGTTCCTTTGTGTTTACTAAAATTTCATTAACAGCCTTTGCTAGATGGATTGTTTCGAATTTCTTAATCCAACAATTCTGGATCCCAGGAGATTTCCAGTTTCCCACGTTCTTAATTGCTTGGAAGAGGTCTTCCAAGAATTCGTGAACATGTCCCACTGTTTCCTCAAGTTCATCGGTAGTAATATCAACTTCACATTGAAGCCAAGATGCGTCTTTGTTGTAGGATCTGCTGTCCTCCCAGTTTGCTCCCCAAAATGCTGCGACGTTATCTTTGAGAGAAGGCTGTTGTTGCTCCGCTATTGATGGAATTAAATTTTTGCCTACATAATATCCAGCGGTTGACGAGAGAGGGTGCCCCGTTATCCAATCAGATGCTTTAAATTATGATGTCACTGCAGAGTTTCCGATGCTTATTAAAAAATTAAATCTTACTGCCATGAGCCACTGAAAGTTGAAGAGCGCCATTACTTGTTTGGTTATACGTTTTCCGTTAATAAACGCGTCTCGCTCTACTTACATTTCTTCTGTTTGCGCTAAAATGTTTCGTTTTTCCTTCAATTGGCAGGATTATTGTAAGGGTCCACGGTAAAATACTTTGTGAAATAAACAAGTGTCATTATTACCGTTCGTTATTCTACTATTAATACAATGAGTAGGACGTTCATGTCTAAATCCTGATCTGATGCACCACTATTCCTGTCTGCCGCCCGAGTGAGTTGTAACATCGTTCTATCCCACCGCCAGCTTTCAAGTAGACAAATATTATTCGTAAAATAGTTGTAAAATTACAAATGCAAATTTCTAACTTTTTTGGGGCGTCGGAAAGGTTGGTCATGGTGGTATAGCTCCACTAGTTAAAACAATTTACAAAGGTGGAATGTTCACACGTACTGCAGGTGTAAATAGATACTGATAACTAAACGATTATAAGCACTATTTACCATGCCACATTGATGTGTTTTCTCAGGAATTGAACTCAGCCAACGGAAAAACTATGATTATACAATTATCCAAGCACTTGACACTTCAGTGTGTAAAATTAAGTTGTTTTCTCTACAATACAAATGTCATGTTGTTTGTTTATAAAATAAGGGTTTTTAAATCTCAATACTTTAATTTCTTGCAGCCAAATGAAGTACGTAATCATGTGGAATTGAGTATCAGTACAGTTTTAATAGTTCAACATATGGCTTCAAGAGTGGAAGAAGATGGAGGCATAGTGTTATTAGCTGATTATGGGCATGATGGAAGTGGCTGTGACACCTTTCGAGTAAGTTCTTTCACTCAACAGTAGTTCACTCAACGAGTCAATCAATATCAAATTCAAACAATGAATATGATATTAAATATCAAATTCAGTGTACATCAATAAATTGTTTTGGTCATAGTTAGCTTGTAAGTGGTACAGACACCAAAAAGCATTTCTGTATGACTATTGCGGTCAGTGATGATAATTGATCATAATTATGATACATACTTTTGTCCTTCAACTATGCAAATTGTGGTATTTGCAAAGTTAAATTAATGTATGTATTAAATGATCGTGCACGGATATTTCCTGCGAACTTCTACAATGCCCCATAGAGAAATAAAAAATTGTGAGAATGCGCGGCATGCTAATTTATTTCTTCTCTTAGTGTTATTGCTCAACTAATACAGTGAAACCTGACTTAAGTGATCACCAATGAATCCGACAAAAACCGGCCGATTATTGAGATGGCTGCTTAATCAAGGTTTTGATACTGGAAGTGAAAATCAAATATAATTGTGCTAATTGCTATGTCCTCTTTAACATTTTAATTACAATAAGTAGCAAAATACAATTTCAGCAAGGAATGTTTTATGACTTCCGTACGCTCGTCCAACATCAAAACACACATTTGACTTGTCGCTGTTCTTGACTGACTTCATTAACTGTTGATATTTCTAATTCTCATAGTCGAGAAATAAACTGACTTGCTGAATCAAAGTAGCAAACTAGATTTGAAGAAGCAATAAATATTCTATAGTAACTTTACAGCACTGTTACACGACGGTGTTAGAATGACCTTTGATCGGATTCGCGCACGCGGCGTAGTCCGCGAGTCCTTAGGAATCTCCATGCAATTCATGGGAGTAGTGGGAAAAACGAACGCATTGTTTCATTAAAGAATTTTTATTAAAATTATTTGTTGTTAACTGAAACGGAAAGTAATCCTCCAGTAATAATAATTATTACTAATTTAAATACTAAGTGAGCACATTGTTGTGCTTTAAATTCCGAGGTCTAATGATAAGTGACTCAATCGAAGTAATCTGACAATGCTTTCCATAGCAGGGAGATATTAAATCAACAGTAATCTCTGCAACGTTTCCGTTTCCTATTGTAATTCAGTTCAAAATAGATTGAGGTGGCCGCTTAATAAAGATCTACAAAATATGCCTGGCCACTGACCGCAAAACAGGTGGCCGCTGAAATGAGGGAAAGTTTATACATGTCTTATGGAAAAATCAATCGGTTCCTCGAAAAAATAATCGTAGTGTAAGTGACAGCTACTTCGAGGTAGCCGTTTGAGCAGGTTTCACTGTACTCATAGTTGTAACTGGGGCTACAACAACTCGTACTTTCTCGCACTTAGTGACGTTAACGTAATCTAATACAGTAATTTCTGTCAATATTAACATACGACAGACTTGCCAAGTAGATATATTAGATTGGACTCGGGAAAGAAGAAAATGGATATGACAGAAGTCCGGAATGATGAATTGTTGAGACAGACTAATAGCTTTCATACGTTGTTCTTTTGTCTCCCTCAGACATATTATTATTATTATTATTTAACCTGGTCAATGGGATTAGCACTTTACAGGTGAGTGTTAGCTTTTATTTTTGTAATGGATGGATGCACTACAGAGGCCCGAAGGTGCAAGTAACTGCAAATTAGCGCACCATCCAAACTTAGTGCGCGTACCTCTATTTCTGAGCGAGGACATCCCCACTGGGTATCTCTATGACTACTATGATTAATTTTATGAAATTAGACATCTAACATTACTATTAATATATAGAACACGATTTTTCTGTACATTGAAAACAATCGGCTGGACAATCTGTCCACGACTTCGAAATAGGCTTAAATTGAAGAGCATTGTTCCCAAGCAAGCACAAACTACTTCAATGAAAAAATTTAATGCATCACTTATAAGTAATTTATTCTAAAAAAATGCAATTTTGAAACTGCTGCTACCGAAACGTTGAATCCTGTGCCTTGGACGCGGTGTCTCCTGGACAGCCAAGTACGAGTACATACACTGTGATCGAAATTATCCGTCGTGGCTGAAAATGACTTACTAGATCGTGGCCCCCTCCATCAGTAATGCTGGAATTCAATAGGATGTTGGCCGACCTTTAGCCTTGCATTCTCGCTCTCTTACTTTCAATCAGATGCTGGAAGGTTTCTTGGGGAATGGCAGCCAATTCTTCACGGAGTGCTGCACTGAGGAGAGGTAGCGATGTAGGTCGGTGAGGCCTGACACGAAGTCGACGTTTCAAAAAGTCCCAAAGGTGTTCGATAGGATTCAAGTCAGGTCTCTGTGCAGGCCAGAGCATTACAGAGATGTTATTGTCGTGTAACCATTCCGCCTTAGGCCGTCCAGTATGAACAGGTGTTCGATCGAGTTGAAAGATGGAATCGCCATCCCTGTATTGCTTTTCAACAGTGAGAAGCAAGGTAAAATATCAACGTAGGCCTGTGTCGTGATAGTGCCACACAAAACAACAAGGGGTGCAAGCCTGCTCCGTGAAAATACATATCACCATTTGGGAAGTGTCTGGATAATTTTGATTACATAGTGTAGCTGCTGATCTACAGCTGTAGGTGTTGTGGCTCCTCGGATTTGATACCAATCTTTTTATTTTTTGGGGGGGCGGGGTACTTTACCTGAATCTCTTACACAATGTACTCACATAAATTTTTCTCGTTGGTCCGTTTCTTTGAAACTTCTTGTTTTCAACAATTAAAGGCAAGTTCTTTTTACTTTCTCGCACTTCGTAAGAAGAGACTGTTATGTTTTCATGCGCCGGAAAATGGCGAATTTTCGGCAGGAAAACTCTTATTGCCGGTCCCTGGTAAGGAAAATGCGTTATTCCCGTTATTTATAATAAATTACTTCCTTCAACACGGGGTGTAGCCAGCGTCCATGTTTTGTGGGTTCTTGATACCGAAATATCGATTGACGGTAATACCTCTGCACATCCATGGTCAACACTAGAGCCTAAACCGTTCAGTCAACTTTCTCCAAAGTTGATATTCCGTGATCTATCTGAACGACTTCGAAGTTTTGAGAGTTTCAAACAGATATTTGATTTTTAAGGGTTCTAACGAAGCCTAAACAAATTTTCAAAATTTTTATTAAAAATGGATCTAATTTTGTTTATTAAACTCGTCTTCCGATATCGTAAAGGACGCTACGACACGCACACCGGCAATATATACCTGGCCCCGCGTGAGTACAAACGGATAACTAGGGACAGAGTCCGCAGAGGCGCCCTCCTCCACCCCCATGCCACAGGAAGCTAGCTGCGGAACAACAGACAAGATCTGCAACAACACCAGACAAACTGGAGCCCCTGCCTAGATCTCGAATAGATTTATATATTATCAATACCGTACATTATAAACAATAACCAAGAATTGTTAATAGTAGCAGTAGTATATATAATAGTCATATAGAAGTAAGAATTTACACTAAGCCAGACGGCAACTGAAATGTATAAATGTATATGTATGTATATACACACACACACACACACACACACATTAGATTAAGAAATAAATATTTGTGTTAAAAGAGGAGAGATTTTGAAGAGAATGGTGCAGGCTTCATGTTTGTTGAAATCCAATTTTGGGGGGCGTCTTCTTACAACTACAATATTGAAGATATAGATTCTTCCCTTCATTAAACGTTCTTTAAAGACATATCTTGAAATAAGGTCATGCTCAATTTTTCGCAAAATGTGTAGTTTTGCTCAAAATATAGGCCGTTTAATTTTTTCTTTAGTTTCTTTTCACGAAGTTTTAGACAAACCAGAATTTTTCAAAATTGCAAACAAGTTTTTAACATTGCAAACATTTCAAATCTACAACATTTAAGATAGCGTTTTTTGCCTTAAAGTCTGTCGTAAAAAATAGTCTTTAAAAAAAACTCATGTACTATTTTCTGAAGAAAAAAAACTAGTTCGTATCTAAAATTTATGCAATTTGTAAAAAAAAAAAATAAACTCCAAAACTGCTCCAATTTTTTTAAATTAAATTTTCTCCTCGTATGCAACAGACGGTAAAATATGGCACTAGTCCCATTTTAGGCGAACTTTCATGATTTTCGAAATCGTTGAAAATATTGGGTTGAGACAAATACACGGCGATATTTAGTGGTTGATAACACTTTTGCACTTTATGGTGTAATATAATTTAGCGGAGCAGTTAGAAATAATGCGAGAAAGTATGTGTAGCACCACAAGTTTACTTAATTTTGTGAATTGATTCGTAATTCGCATTACGTATTTCACCATTTTATCGAGATATTGACTTTTAATTTATTTTAGTCTTTATTTTAATTTCATTGCAAGTACACTTTACTAATTTTCGTAATTTTAATTATTCTTTTATAACACACTCATCAGAGCCCCAGACATTTGAGTGTGAACTATAACATTCCACGTCCGTGTATATCAAAGCCCCGACCTGTAGGGCGACAATTACATCATCCCACGATATTTGGGATATGTCGTGAGTATTCAATTTTCTAACTTACCTCATTTGAATGCAGCCTCTCCCGGCTGCGCTGAAAATTTTGGGAGGAGGCTTTGGCAGGAGTGGCCGAAGCCATGCCATGCATGATTGAAAAAAATATCGTACGTACGAGTCATTGCAATAGAGTTCAGGTCGCGTAAGAAAAAATGAGGCGCTGGTCATTCTGTTTTCGAAATAATGCGAGAACGTACGTGCTGTTTAGCACAAGTTGATATGTTGCCCGCCATTGGGCTGACTCTTGGGAGGGTTACAGATATAAATAAGTCATTGAAGTCAGAGTTGCCAGACTTGTATTTTTGAAGAGTATATTATTTTAGAATTTTGTGTTAATACATAATATTAAAATATTTCTATACTCTTTCAAATTTTGAAGTATATTGACCATAATAAATAATTATTAAATTTGCCAGGCTTTTCGCCAGCATAAACTACACGATCCATTGGTTGATCCTGGAACAGCTGACCTCACTGCAGATGTGGATTTTTCAGCAATACGAAATGCTGCCGAGCCTAAATTGATTACATATGGACCTACAGATCAAGGAGAATTCTTAGAGAGAATGGGCATAAAGCTAAGATTAAATGTAATTCTATTCACTTATGCTTTCTTACTCACACAATGAATTGTTGTTATTGAAAGCTTCTTTGTCTAGGTACTTTTGGAACAGTGCAATGACAATGAAAAAACAAGACTGAGAAGCAGCTATAACATGCTTGTTGATAGTGATAAAATGGGTAAACGTTTTAAGTTTTTTGCAATGTTTCCAGCAGTCCTTAAAGAACATTTGGATAAATTTCCAGTTGCAGGATTTTTTTAAATATCTATCTTCAAATACAGGTAAGAAATTAATAATACTTTATTATTTAGATTTGTCAATAGAGAGGAAGTGTTCAGTGCTGAAGTGACATGCCACCACAATAATCACAACCACAACCGTCCAAAATCTATTTTGCATTTGACTACAAAACTCTTTAAATGCTTGTTATAAATTGAAAAGTATCACACAATAATAAAAATACAATCTTTTCAAAATCAAAACAATGGAATATTGACATCATTTTTATATCTTTAAGGAGGACTTGTCTTATCAAAACTATACTATTTATAAGGCTTATCTTGCAGATGCTTGCACAGATGTTTTGTGAATTCTATTGACTCGTTCAAATTCAGATCTACTGAATTTTAACACAGCTGCAATTGCATTGAGCATGTGTCTCTTGCAGTTAGAATCATTAGAAGTTAGGAAGCTCAATACAACATTCTTTAAATATTCCAAGTTAGCTCCTTCTCGGGACTGGCATCTCTCCAGTCTGCAATCAATTCACAATAATGTCAAAACTTTAATTAATCAGAGTATATTGTTTCATAGAAACTCTGAGTTGTTAAAGTGAATTAAATCAAACTTAAAATATACACTTGTTCAAGCAATAAAATTACATTTTCAGAAAAGCATGTAGAAAATAAAAATCTGTAATTCATCACATGAATTTGTCAAATGAAACGTTGCAAAATAGCAAATGATCTGTACAGTGACATTTAAATAATGAGAGTAAAAGGGTGATAAAATAAAAGATATCCAAAATTAAAGGGAAATCAAAAATGATTGCTTATGTATTTAATATTTTGTGTGCAGTGGTATCCTCTTAATTAAAGACAATCAAACTAATTAATATTTTAACACTAGCCAAACTAGTGATAAGAATTCAAATGCATACAAACTGAATTTTTGCAAATTGCAAAAGTTAAAACTTTTTAATTTACTAGGCTGTCCGGGTGACGCCGCGTCATTGGCGAAGGTGCCGACGTTTCGGCCGCCATTCTGCGACCTTCCTCAGGGCGTAATGAGGAAGGTCGCAGAATGGCGACCGAAACGTCGGAACCCCTTCGCCATGGACGCGGCGTCACCCGGGACAGTCTAGTAAGTACTGACTTCAGCCGTGGAAGCCTACGTTCTCATAACACTTTTTTGATCTCATAACAAATATCTACAAGTTTCAAGATTAAACTTTCTTAATGAAATCTGTTCATCATAAATGAATCTTTGAATAACGGTATTTCAAAAATACCTAACAACATTCGCTTGAAAATGGCTCTTTAAATTTTTTGGTCAAATATAGTAAAGTTTGCTTAATAAAAACACCATACGAATTATTTTAAGTATGTTTTAAAATTTTGAATACTTGCAAAAGTTCAGTTTTTAAAAGCCCTTTAGGTCGTTAATATTGAAGCTAGAAATTTCTCGAGTAATGCAACCTCTTCCTGAATATTAGAACTTTCAATTGTGCAATTTTAAATTATATTGAAGCAAAACTAATTATTTTCGAAACTGTATCATATCTTCCATAATGAAGATGATTTGTTCCATGACCCAATTTGACAGATGTGCCAAATTTAAATCTTTAAATCATTTCATTAACATTTTTTTAAAGTATGAGTAGTTACCACAATTCTTGTTGCGTGAAAAGGAATGAAGATTTTTTTAAAGCGTAGAAGAGAATTTTCAAAATCTTAATCAACATTCCTTAACAGTTTTTGTTATAAATCTATTTGTTTTTCAGTGCAAATAGCACTGGTAAATGGAAAATACTCTTTTCTGTAGCGACTTTCAGGTATAGCTAATACAAACCTAATAAAGCACTAAGTTTTTGCAATTGCTACCTTTGGATGTTAGGAGGTGAGATAAAAATGACCACTTCTATGCACTTTAATTTTTTTTTTTTATATGTATCACATATTTTTTACACGATTAACTTCTTCAAAAGGTTAACCTTCATCTGTTTCTTTCAAATTTCTTTTATCAAACTGTACCAAGTTTAAGTTTTAAGGTTTTTCGTGAACAGATTTCCGAGGAGGAGGATACATCTGAAGCCAATTCATCGGTTTTAGTGTGTGAAAAAGATAAGCCTGTTTTTCAACATATTCAATACTTGTCATTAAATAAAGATGAAATTTCCATAAGTAAAACACTGTCTTGTATAGTATTTATTAAAGCCTGCATTTTCTGTAGATTGAAAGTTTTTCTTCTTTCTAGATTTTATTTTCCCCTCTAATTCTTGTAATTGAAACAGCAAGCTCAATATGTTTCTTCTCATTGACATTTAGCATATTAGACCGGACGGTGTGCTTAATTTTCTATTCTAATCGCAGAAGCGGGAACTCAGCTTTATGAAAGGCAAGTACACTTTCGTTTCAACATATCTAAAGGAAATCTATAAACACATGGTATAAAATTGTGTTCTGAAACCATTTGTGTATAATTTGTGACTTAGGTGCCAACTTTATGAGACCCAGACCCCTTGGGGTCTAAGTCCCCACCCTAAGACACGTGAGCTCCCCCCTCAAAGTTGATCTAGTTAGAATGATAGGTATATGGAAGCTACTGAGACAAAAAAGGGCTGCTGATTCTATGCTGAATGTCTTAAAGATTGCCAAATGCAGTTTTTTCGAAGAAAGAAAAAGTTCTTAGAATAAATCAAGTTAAACTTCACTTCCAAAGACTTAATTTAAATCGACTGCCACGCCAAAAAAAACATGTGATGTGTCCCACTAAAGCTCTTGAAGGATCTTTCCAGATCTCTGCTGCAACTGTGTTAGACACGTTCAACGACAGAGTCACGGCAGCCGTTTTGAATAGTGTGCCTGGCAGTGGCTTTTAAACACAAAGATCTGGAATTCATTTTTTTCTTTTTTAAAATCAGGATCTGCCTTAACATATGAAATCCAATATAGAATCTGAGATGATTTCTTTCACGTTTCCAAAACCTTGATGTTTTGTTTCCATCACAGCAAAAGTGTCACTGTGTCCAAAAATCAAATGTACACTCAGGGTCCCAACTTCTTGTTAGAGCTTCGGGAGTTTGAGAGCCGAATGCTGTAAACTCTCATGTGGAGCAATTTTTGGTTAAAGGGCACAAAAATCTATTGCAAGTCGGAAAGGGCACAAAAAGATTGTGAAGATAAAGGCGAGGACTCTACTTTTGAAAGAAACTAAAAACCAAACCCTAAATAACATAGGATTGAGGACACGCATCCCCCCATATTTTTCCTGACGTTGGGGCCTATTTCCGAGGTTTATTGTAAATTGTCGATGGCATCTGAATATTTGTGAATGTTAAACTACATACTTTTCCCATCAATTTCAGTTACATGCTTTATGAGCCCAAAACGTAATTTATTTATTATTTCAACTTGTTTAAAAAACATTATCTACAAAACAAACCCTTTACGTCTTTAACATTTTGATTCTGTCAGCCTCTCTCAAGACCATTAGCAATCCTGCATCACAGCTTAAACCTCAAGAAAGACAGCAAAATTTTCATGTGCATCATTTGTTTCTACATAAGTAAAAAGTTGAAGTATGCTTGTATTAATTCATGTGTGGTTTGAACTTTCACGAAAACAAATTCACTCTCATTATTTAATTGTCGGATTCCTTCCATCCTCCTATATTACATTTATGTGCAATAATGGCATTGTTCACATTAAATAAATGATGAAAACTGTCAAGAAAAGTAATTAATACTATATTTCAGAGTAATATGCCCTTCATATTGATGTAACACAAATGCTATATTTTGTGTTAAAGGTAAGGCAGACCGAGACCAGATACACAACTATTATGCGATATGGACAAAAATCATTAATTGTATGAAGTCAAGAACTACTACAATTATGAACTTTGTGAATACTTAGTGCATCAATTATTAAGTTGATGAAGATAATTGAAATTGAATAAAGATTTTTGTTAAGTATAAAAATTTTAGGAAATACCTACCGAGCCACTTCTTCTTTCAATTCCTCTTCCTTTTCATGGTGTGCTTCTTCCCTGGAAGCTAAATTTCGCCCCATTTCTCTGAGAGAACTTTCTAGCCGATGATTAGATTTTCGGAGGTTGGATATTTCCACATCCCGACGTGCTATTTCATGAGCATAATGCAGCATGTGAGGGCTTTCTCCAGAATTTCCATTATTTTTATATAAACCAAAATGTGCTTTCACCATGCTGTCAGAAGCGTTTGTTTCCTGGAGACACTGATCAGAGTTCATTTTAGAAATGCAAATTTAAATATTAGTAGATACTTTGAGCAATAGAGTATGTCTTAGCTCAGGGGTGTCGAACTTGCAAGGCCTCAAGGGCCACAACTATAACCTTTACTGAAGTTGCGAAGTTGCATTGATGGAAGGGACGTTCACTATTGACTAATAATGTTTTGCGGGTCAGAACAAATGGCACCGTGGACTGCCAGTAAGACAATCCTGTCTTAACTCATAACAAAATTTTATAGTTTTGAAGACAAGTATTTAGAAGTAAATTTTTAAATTGGTTATAACCAGGCATGGAAGTTTTCTAACAGAATAAAACGCAATATAAGAGAAGATTAGACACTAGTCAACATTAAACAATTCTGAACACAAGTACCAAAATATTATTTGTTGTTCATTAGATTTTTAAGGCAATTTACTCTTTTTATTCATTACAAAACTATTGCAATAACTACATTATTGATCAATTACATACAATTACAACTGATTCACTAGTGTTATTGAACTCAATGGCAGGAAAAAGTATGATAATTACAAAATGCTAAAAAAAGTATGACGTCACATACATTGAATGCACAATTAATGACGATGTCTTGCACAACAAAAATGGTGAAAGGGGCAGTGGCTGTTCCAACCTACAACTAATGCATTTTAGAATGGATAATAACAGAATCACTAACCAGCTGACGTTTTTTTGATGCTGTTAAATTATTTAATTAAACAATTTAAGGTTTAATCTGTCAATTCAGCAGGTAGTATGGGATGAATTAATGACTTAAAATGTCGAATGTTATAAAAAAAAATTCCCTTCTTGTTTTAAAACCCTATTATATTTTTTTATTACAATTTTCTCTAAATTCCATTCATTATAGGATTAAATAATACTACAAAATTAACCCCTCCGCCTTGTGAATATTAGTGCAGAAAGGGAAGCGTTTTTTTAGAAATGTAGACATAAAGAAGAGCTTATGTTATTAACATAGTAAACACTAGATGGCAGGGGTCAGGGCATGTTTCCATTTGCTAAAATGTCAGATACTATATTTTGTGACCTCAAAGGTTACATTCTGGTGAGTCTTTTCACAGGGTGGGGGGAAACCTACCAGCGTCTTCTACTCCTCAATTCCATGAACAAATGTTCCCTATATTGTTTTGCTGAGAAATGCTTTGTTACTATCCAGCACTTATTTGATTTCACTTCTATGACTTCCAAAATGTTGTGCTTAATGTGAATTGACGCCCTGAAGACATTTGTAAATTTTGCAGAAGGAAAAACTTGATTAAGATACAAACAACCTAAAACGCAAATTTGCGTATTGACGGAATTGGGAAGCATATTATAACATCCTGTGCCGCTGTGCGGACCTGCAACTGGGCTTGTTCTTAGGTAGCCAGAACTTTCTCCTGCCTGGCCGTCAAAAGGCAGTGCCGCTAACAGCCTCCCAGGTCTTGTGACTTATGTTTAGAAAATTGCAAAAACATTTTTTTAATTATGTTTCTTGGGCCAAAACAGCAAAGGAATTATTTATTGATTATATATTATGTGGAATAAGCTGGCATTTTTCCGCCTGAAATTACTCACTTGTGAACACGGCAAGATTAATCTTGGCTGGCGTAAATGAATAAAGATTAAAATATTTTATGGAACTCACATTTGTTTGGTATTGTTTTCAATAATAACAACAAAGGGCTTACATTTCAATCAAGCTTCACTTCATAGCTGTTGGGTCATCAAGTTAATTTATGAAAGTTAGACCCCCCGTGCTCTGACAACATAACTATACCATACACCCCGTAATCACGTTTTGTCATTAGATAAAGGAGATGATTGACGCATACTGAAAGAGGAAAGTTTCAGAAATAGCAATAGTCTCGGGAATATGAAAATAGGTTTTACTGTATAAAGCAAAGACAAAATCTCTACCACTCCGGACAAAATGTCCCAGAACGGAAAGATTTTGAATGTGAAAATTATCTCTACAAGCCAGAAGCCTGTCGTACGCAGAAACGGAATGGTTTTTAGAGAATATAAAGCGATTATCTGACTAAGGAGGAAATGTATTATTAAATTTCTGGCACCAACATTGGAATGGCATAATGCGAAAAGCCACATCCTGAGACAATGTGAATGACGATTTTCCCCCTCTTACACCTTCTGTCTGGGAATCTTTGTGTAACTCAACGATAGTCTTTTTCTGAATGAAACTGGGCTTGTTCCACAGGTTGGTTCCGCTCTACTGTTTCGTTATCCAGCCAGATAATATTTTTGAAACAATTTTGTTAATGTTCAATACCACAGTAAAAGGTCGATTGTTGTTTACATTGTCCTTTAAACATTTCTTATCGAAAAGAATTATTGTGCTTTGTTACCATACTGTAGTTATTGCCTCTCATTGCAGTATATTATCAAAATACTAGTATATTAAAATCCTGGTAGAATAGAATGTAGATAAAAATGTTTAATGGAAAACAGGGGCCCGTAAATGTAGTTGGCCTTCCTTGATATTTCTTCCATAATTTCAAACTATTTTCTGCAGAAATGATATCATTATGGTTAACAGAAGCCCCATTTTGCTGGTATGAGGGTCATTTTTAATTAACCTTTATATTAGACTATTTATTTTGAATGTAAGAATGTATGCAACCATGCTTTCATGTCCTATATGTGAATAAAATGAAAGTAGATTTTATTATAGAATATTAGCAACACAAAAGAAGCGAAGTCAAACACCATTTCATCTAAGAACATTTACAAGTTACAAACTAGTATATATGTTCAGAAAAGTGACAAAAGATTCATTAAAAATGTAGATTTAAAATAGTAACATTTCAGTACTTGCTGTTGCTCTGCATGACTGAGTCCAGCTTTACTTCCAGGTAAAAACATTCCAAAAGATGATTTTAATATTCTTATTTCTTGTTCTTTGTCTTCTAGTAGCATTAACGAACGTTCACGCTGTTTTTGCAATTGCTGCTCAAGAAGCGCTAATCGACAACGGTAATCTGTCTCCACAGCAGTGAGTTCAGATTTACTTCTTGCCTTCTCTGCCTTCAACATCTGCACACACACACACACATACACAAAAGTTTATTAAATCAGATTATCTTTTTCACACACAAGAAATAAAGTCTTCATATTTTCATGAAAGTGTATGAAACATGTACATACTTTTTGTAAGTTGTCAATGAGCTTTTTATTTTCTTCTCCATCACTCATCTGAGCATTCAACAACTGAATTCTCTCTTTCAAAGCATTAACAAGAGAAGTTGTATCATCCTCTTCATTTACTCTGAAAACAAATTAAAAAATGACAACAAAATTATTTAGAAAAGGGCCGCTATTATGACAAGCTGACACCGTTGTAGAGGATACTTTACTATCATAACTAGGGAACGGATTGTTATGTAAATATGCAGTTTTAAGTTACCAGATATCTGCAATCAATAATTAATTGATTGATTGATGGAGGTTTAAGGGGCGCATCAAACCAACAACATGTCATGAGCAAACGACGTAATAAATTATTGGATAAATTATTGGTGGCAAAGAAGCGATCATTCCATTAATTATACAATTTAATTAAAATTTACTGTCTATAATATACAATTGGTTAATAGCAAGCGATAGCATATCACTACTACTACCTTTCATTTAAAGCAAAAATCACGAAATTTGATTCAGTAAAAAGCACAAATTTCTTTCTGAACGAAAACTGACGAATGATGAGGCGCATATGTTATGGATAATAATCCGACATAGGCCATGTTTATAAGTGTATTTCACCCCATTCTTACAATAAATTTAAATAAACAATTTGGGGCCTTTTTTGAGAAAATTTCCCAGGGACTTAATGTCAAGCACCCCAAGAATGATTTTCAAAATCGCTGAACTTCGAGTCGGGCCAGATCGACCGGAGAATATCCTTTTTGGAAAAAAATCCTACAAACAGTAGGAAAATATCCTAAAAATAGATTAGGCTTTAGTTGCTGCTCAGACGGACGGACAGACGTTTTGAAAGGAAAAAACAACCACTTTTTTGGTATCAGGGGACCTTAAAAACAGGTATTTCGGTTGAAATCTCGTACCGTAATCGAATTTCCGCAGCCTTTCATATCTTTCTGTATAGTACCACGTGTATTCCTCCGTACACTGGACGCGCAGGAATATACTTATCTCGAGACGAACATATAAAAGAAAATTAAAGTATGGGTTTTATCTGAACGAGTGTGTCAGTGAAGAAAATTTTTCCAAAAGGTTCATAATATTAAGTGATCAATCAGAACACATTACTTACCCAGGCTCTTGTTTCCTGAGATATTCAATTTCATTCTGAAGATGCAAAATTTTCTCTTCACATTTGTTGTGTAGGTTTTCATCTGGATCAGCAGATATATTAAATATGGCTAAAAACGAAAACACCAAACAAATTATTGCAAATACACAAGTGTGAAACAGATTACGTCATTGTCCTCTCTGTACATAGAGTATAACTTAAGGCTGAACCGTTTCAATCCAACATTTTCTTCCGCCTTGTACAGACAGATTTTCGGCTTATTCAGGTTTTCAAAAAAAATTGTCAATTTAGAAAACGCATTGTTCAAAGATGCAATAGGTTGTATGAGTAGTTTATATCGTCTAAACACTACATTTCAAAGAAACGAAGACGTCCCGAGAGACAAAGACAATTACATTCAGAAACGCAACACGAAGTCCTCATACGTTAAGTGATACCCTTACGTTTCCGCAACTTGAAATTTCTTTCTTAAAACCTTGACAGAAGTGTTGCTTTGTTCGTGTTCTTCAACTAGTTTAATTTTCTCACCAAAAGTTTTCACTTTGCCGCCTGACATCATAAACACTCGATTAACATAATACCTGCAACTCGAACTGAACATGAGTAAAAGTTTAAAACCACTTAACTCAAGAACTGTGAAAGAATCGCTATTCGCGTCTCTTTCTTTTATATAGGCTTGTGAAGGTCAGTGTTATTCCAAAAGTAAACAGTGACTTTCGCGCGAGTAGCGTGGGAAATACGATTTTCAGACGAGGGTAACTGAGAAAGCGAAAGGGCAAGCACAGCTCTGAGTGTCTCTTGGTGCGATGTCACCGCACTTACAAGGCAATTTTTAATTTTAAAACAATGTTTTCCGTCTTGTAAAAAATTGTAATACCGTCATTCTAAAAATTCCTTTCCGTTTCTGCGTTAGGCAGGTACCTTTCTCTATATTACACAGCTAGAAAGCGGAAAAGTAAAAACAGACTCGGAAACAATGCGCTATAAGGCCTCAAATCCAGCCTTTTGTGTTCCGACAAGACAAGTTTTCTGACAACAAGCTAGCTCTGTGGGGCACACGTTCTGGCGTACAAGGGGTTATGTAAGGAAAGGACGAAGGAGGCAGGACGGGCCACAATTATGCTTATTAAATAATTTTTTTACAAAATGAGATGTTTTTGAATGTTTTCTGTTACGCTTTTGGAAAATGTTGGGGCTCCCGCTCCAAAGCATGGAGGGTAACAAGTGCAGAAACCCTAAATCTATGTAAAATTAAATGGAAGAAAAGTACACAAATAATATTTCGCAATAAAATGAAAGGTGCCGTTTTATTTACTGCGCAATTTGAACTCAACGCTTAGCAATATTAGAACGGATACTTGGCACTGTACCGAGCTTGTAATGCTGTAACGCACTGTTGAGGGGTCGGCCGTTGGATTCTACTCAGAAGTAACTTTCGCTTTTAAAACAATTATTTACTTAGCGCGAATTTTTCGCACGGGTCCAGCTGTGACATTTAATACTCACTAACGGGTTTACGCAACCCACATAAAATTTCAGCTGCCTGCACTACTTGGCCCTTTGCCAAGGGAGCCGCCTTGATCCTCGTCGCTCCCCTGGCGCCACCACCTCTCTGGGCGCGGCGTCTTTCAAAATAATTGTTTGCGGCAGCCAACAAAGATATTAGTCGGTGAAATGAAGGGCCCCTTTCGACGTGGACACTGCCGCGCGCGCTTCCGATAAGCGGCAAGGCACTTCTCACGGGGCCGCCACTGCCCGCCGTGAAAGTGGGAGGGTTCTGCGGGGGTAGGTTTCGCCGACGACTAACAAAGAAATGCAGCAGGTAAAACGCCGCGGCGAGTGCCCTAGTGGGAAGGCCTCCAATGCTTTGCTGGCGGTAGCGTGGACGCTGTCCCGGGCTGCGCGCGGCGAGCGTCCGCCGACGAAAGACACATCAGCGCGAATCCGCCGCACGTGGGAAGATCTCCACTTAAAGCAATGCTTTGCTAACCAGCCGCGGCGTTCGCAAGCGCGCTGCTGTGTCTACGTGTGAAGGGGCACAAAGGTTTTGACTTTATTTGCGCGACCCTTCGGAAGTGCCCACCACCCACAGACACGCCTGTCTCAAGGTTTTGTCTGTTGGGAGCCTTCTCCCACGGCCACCCAGAAAGCATCCCCCTCCGCGGAGTGGGAGGGGCAGTTTTTAACATACTTGTATGTTACGAAAGCAACGCGCACCGACACTTTTTTTCTTCACAGAGTTGCTAAGTTTCACGTCAGTCATGTAACAGATTCATCTCAATAGATTCGGCAACAGTTCTTCAGAGTTTCACGCGACTCATCGCGATAGAATTGCGCCAGCCACGTGGACGTAAGTGCTCTACGCTGACAACACTTGTGCCTTACCATGCTGTAATGTATCTTCGCACAGCAACGGCATTAATTAGGACTACAAGCTGCTCATCTAGCAATTATTTAAGGCTGTAGGCTGCCCAGCAGTGTATGCCATACCGGCACGTTTTAATGTTTTCACTTGCTCATTGCGAGTGAAGCGGCAGTGAAACTTAAACCACGGCGGCGCACATGCGTGGTCATCGTGTCAGGGGACTCCAGCGTTCGCTCAGCTGGTGGTTTACTGTGTCGCGTGTCAGCACATCTACATCGCCGGAAGGCTCCAGCTCCGGCAGCATCGGTACGCGTACAACGCCTCCGTCTCTCGGGTACCTGTTTCTGTTTCCGAGGGTGCGGAGTCCAGAAGATATTCATTCAAAAGTGCATCTGTCACTGGCATTATAATTTATAAAGAGTATTAACGTTCAGTTTCATTTGGGTATAAACTTTTGTTTTTGTAACTTTTGCTTATTTTAATGAATTTTATTGACTTAGCTTTGTTTTCTTATACGCTACTAATTTTAAAGTTAGAATTTTTATTAGTAATTCACCGCTCGGGCCCGGTATTCAATTTGTAAACAGAAAAATAAGGCTTATAATTGTCTATTAATTTTGCCTTACTTAGATCAGAAGTTTCATTCATTAATTTCAAATATTCTAAGAGGTACTATCACTCTCTTTTTTATATTTCATTTATGAAATTAGTACGAAGCCACCTCATTTCTCATAAATCTCTCGAACGATCTTGTTTTTTTCATTTCCTCGAACGAGGTGGTCCTCCAACCCTTTCTTTTAGTAGCCTTCTTGGCTACATCGTCGAGCTACCAGAGGCGGAACCAGTCCATCATTTTGGAGAGGACCATCATAGATTTTTGTTAAATAATTAACATTTGTTAATATACATGTGTATTACTTTTGCAGTGTATATGATACAGTACAATATTTTTTAAATAATTACACAATTCTAACAAAAATATTGAAATCAATTTTGTCAAATGATACAAGGTAACAAACGAAAAATCTGGACCTTGGGAGGGCACGCTCCCCCCCCCCCACTCCCGGATCCGCAACTGCGAGCTACCAGAGGCCAATGTGCGCGTGTGTGTAGCGTACTCAAGTCCACGCACCCTTGTTTTTCTGCGTGTGAGAAGTAGGTACGACCAGGCAAGTATCGCATCTGCACGCGCTCACACTACACTGTCAACTACAAATAATTGTCTTTTTATTAGTTCAATACCCGCCATTGCCCGGTCATTTATTTACTGTATGAATTTATTTATGAAGGAGCCTCTCCACCCCGTCGCTTTGCCCCGCACGTCTCGGCCCTTCCCCTCCAACCCTTTGCGCTCTGCCTGTACCCCCAGCTCTACAAGCACTGTCCATTTCTTCCGCCCACTCCTTGCTCTTCGGCCACTCGTCTCTGCTCCGCGCCACCCGGCAGCATAGGCGCCCACACGCATCTAGCTCAATAATGTATAAAATCGATAACACATTTTAAGTTAACATTTTGGATCACAATTACATTTTTTTCTTTTCCTTGGGAACTCAAAAGTATTCGTACCAAATTTCAGAGCTATCACTCCAGTTGTTCATCTAAAATTATTGTAGAAGATACAAACATACCTACTCTCACTATTATATAATAGACAGTACACTCATATTCCAAACAAAAATTGGATTTCTTATTAATAGGATGGCTAAAAAAATTCGTAGATTGAAATTCACTTAATTCTTCAGTCTATTTTCCTACATCTCCAGAACATCCCCTGACAAAATGTCCAATCTTTTTGAACATGTTAGATTCATGTTTTACTAAACATTCACTGATTTTATATATTAAGGTCAAATCATCTCATGCTATTTACAATTTTCTTGTGTTTTAAAGACAACTTATTCAGTACACTATTAAATAACATATTGTTATTATATATTGTACTGTAAATAATATTATTCTTTTTAAGTATGGGATAACATTGTGTCACTTTAAAGATGGAATATGGTGACATTGTTTTACCTAACAGATTGTAAATTTCATATATTCTTAATAATATAAAGTTGAGCAACCATTATTTTGATCCCTGAAGTTGAGATCTTTTTTGAGTTTATGTGGTCTTGGAGTATGGAAATATGAAGAGTTGAAATGGTTCATTGGCAACCTTTGGGCAAACAGATAAGTGCGAGGTGCATGCAAGAAAGAAACCTGAAGGTATTCCTTAACCATAGCCCCCTTGTATGCACACTAGCAAGCTATGCCTTAACTTAGGAGATCGCAAAGCAATCTCTCCCTTTTCCAGACAAAAAGCATGATTCACCTCAAGGAAAGCCTCATTTGCTAACTGAAAAGGCTGCCAAGCTTGTGTTTTTATACAAAAATATGAACTCAAACAATCTGTAACAGTTTATGACTTTGTGTTCAAATACACTTTTTTAAAATTATAATTGATCTAAATAAAATGTTTAGCTATATATCTGTACTAAAAAATAAGAAACAAAAACTATCATCCTCAGTCTGTCAAATTTCAAGTAACACAATGTGACGTGACATAACATACAGAACAAAGATGCTTGGAGGTAGAGACATGTTTCTCTGGCTCTGTAAACAAAGTTCTTTGAAGTATCCAAAAGTATCCCGGAAACTCATTGAAAATAGTGCTGCTGTACCAGAATGTGCTTGCTTGCAAAACATGTTACCAACAAATTAACACTGTCGTGGTGGCTGACATTTCGGCCACCACGACAGAGACATGACTCATCCGGGAGAACCTAGATAATACAAACTCTGGTTGCGGAAGCTTACGCAATCAAACTAACAATGAGCTAAGTGGGATTGTTAAATCAGTGAACGAGAAATTCAATGGAATTGGGACTTTAATATGACATACTTTTTGATAAATAAGTTACAAATGCGACTTGAAAGTCAAATGTTACTTGAAATGTGCTAATGATATTCTGTTGTAAAAGCATTCAGATAATTGGAATCTGGAATAATTTCTAAGAAATCAAAGCCTGACGAATCTACTAACAACCCCGAGTCAGAGGTTGTATGACTGTCAGAGTCTCTGTGACACCTGCAGAGATGGTCACCGTACATCTGGTATACAAATATTATAAAACATTCATTGTATACATACCCTTTACATCAATAGGTTTTTCTGACTGTTGATTCATCTGAAGAAGTTGTGTTTTTAAGTTTATAATATGCTCGACTAATGTAGGAATATCAGCGTTAACATCAACTTCTTTATTTTCTTTCAGTTCTTCCGCTCCAAAATTCAAAACTTTTTGACCTGTACCACAAGTGTTTTCAAGATCTAATTGAGCAATATGTTCCTGGAACCATAATATTCACAAAATAGTCTCAATAATAATGACAAACCAATTTTTTCATAGTTATTCAATGAAGATTAAACAAGAAAGAAAATGTGGAAATGTCTGGGCTCTTCAACAAAAAAACTGCACACCTTTAGTTTTGTTATAGCTGCTTGGTCTTGCTGACGTAATCTATCGTACGTTCCAACAGTTTCTGACAGTTCAGCTAATCTAGATTCCAGATTTGCCACTCTTTCTTCATGTGCAGCTGCTAATTTACGAGCACGTTCTTCTGCTTCAGCGACTCTTTGTTGCTCCTGTTGCAAAACAGTAAAAATAATCATTGTCATTAGTGCATTCCTTATGCACTAGCACAGATTGAAAACTGTTTGACGAGTCCAAATGTGAAAAGATCAATTATTTTCAACAGCACAAGTGTGATTTTATTTGTTACATACATTTAATAACTACGAAAGAATGTTGTTACTACGCAAAACTATAAAAAAAAGGAACGTAATAAAAATTATTTAAGTCATACAATACAATAATAAAAAAGCTATTAATAAACCATGAATATCACTTATGTTACATTACGATATAACACCATTTGTGAATACTTAAAGGAAAGAAATTTTGACATTTTTGGTAAAATCTAAATTTTCTTTGATCCATCAATTTACATATTTTATTCATTTTTACTCTACTTCAAACTAAACAACTATTTTCTCCTGTTGAAATATTTTTACCCTGGAAACAGAGATAAAAATAATACTGTGGCAACCATAGAGCACGAGTATATGTATGTGTGCGTATATAATCATTAGGGAACGGCATTTGTTGTAATAAAAAATGTAAAACATGTGTACATCTATATATTTTTCAAAAAAACATACGAAAGAATTGAAAATATGTAAAAAAAAATTATTATAGAATTTAAAATTCGTCTATATAAGCATTTTACGAGCACAGAACATTGTTAATTGGTATTATCATGAATTCAGTGAGAATGAAAGAAAGTTCTTTCTCAACAAAAGTAATTGTACAGTAGTATCTTTTGCCATATAAAAAGTTTGTCCTATATACACTCTTTACGAGGAGATGGTGTGGAGAATAGTGTAGTACCGTGCTGTCAATGATGGATCCAAGAGGTAGGAGGGAAGGGACATCCCCCCCTCCCCGTCCTACTCCAGAAATATGGCAAGACAATGCATTAAGAATAATTGTACGTTTTTTTATCGCGTTATGCATGGGGTCTATGAAACATGAGCAAGTATTCATTTGCTCATCTTTGAACCTGAGTATGTGATTTTCAAGAACCAAGGAGAGGAATAAATTTCAAAATTCATTAAGAAGGACAGGTGCTCATAGAAGCACATTGCATTGCTTTGTAAGAAAGATGATTCCAGTAACACGGTATATTGCAAACTCACATCTGAAATGTTCGGTTTTGACGTATAAATATATTAAAATGAAATGAAATATGTAGTAATAGGTAAAATATGTAATTATACCAAAATATGTAAAATAAAAATAGTTGTATTTCATTCATAATGTCCTGTAAACTCTAAAAAATATTTTTGAACGCAGCTATCTTGTTCCTGTAAATATAAGTATTTACATTAAAAACCGTTCCCTAATAATCGTACATAAATATGATTCAGACAGAGAGAGAGAGAGAGAGAGACAGAAAATACCTGTAAAATTGCATCTTGATGATGAAGTTTCAAGTTAGCCATTTCTTCTTGCAATTCAAATAACAATGGAGGTGCTTCCTTACTTTTTATTTCTAGTTCGGCTCGTTTTAACTTTCTTCTAGAAGATTCTAATTCATTTTTCAAGTCTCGCATTTTTCTGTCATTTTGACTGTTCTGTAGTTCCATCTGCGTTGATTTGGATTTCAATTCTTCACATCGCATTTCCAAAATTTCAACCTGATGTCTTTCATCAGCCAGTAATTTTTGTAATTCCCTACAATTATAAAATTGATTCAAAATCATTATACACTAAAAATGCATTTACAAACAAATTAGTCATCAGTGCATTTTATACCTGATCATTACACCATGATCATTTTGCTCCTTGTCACGTTCCTGACGTTCATTAGTAAGTTTTAATTTAAGATTTTCTATTTCGCTAAATGCTTGCTGATTTTTAATTTGCAGATCACGAATTAATTTATCACGCTGGAAAATACAAAGAATTAATATTTATTACATTTTTAATATTTCTAAGATGCAATATTGGTGAAAACATCAAACCTCTTCTTTTTCCAATCGAAGTTGCTTCTTGTCTGCTTGAAAACTTGCTTCCATTCGAGACTTCTCAGCAGAAAGTGTGGCAAGAGAATTTGTTAAAGTTGTAAGTTGTTGATGTAGTTGTTTAACGCTGTCATTCTCCTCATCTTTAATTTGATTTTCATTCTCCTTAGTCTAAAATAACGACATATATTTCAAGACAAACTGAAGTATCAAGAAATTTCTTTTTTAAATTGTCAAGGCATACAATTGAAACAGGGCATGCATTCTCTTCATTGAAATTATTGTCAGACATGAGAAACACAAGATACTGCAATGACAATTATTCCAAACTTGAAAACAAAACATCGTACAATATTCAGTTCTTGTATCATTAGATTCAAGAATACACATAACCTTATGAAAGTTACCTCTTCCAAATCTTGATTTTCTACCTCTCTGGGGTTTTTACTAGTTTTTTCAGTATTTTTATCGTTGGTGTCATGTCTCTCGGGCCTGTTGTTAGTGGACGATTGAGATGTGCTCAAAGCCTTAACACTTGATTCAAGTGCTTCTTTTTCTGTTACTAGTCCTTTGTATGCTATTACCACATCTACAAAAATGGTAACAATCGTAATCCTATTAAAAATTATTACATATTTTCATTAAATATGGAACTATTAGGATTCTGAATGGTGATATTTACCTCTCAAACGTGTTTCATATCGACTAATCTTTTCGTTTTGTTGATTTATAATAGTCAATAATTCCTTTTTCGAACTTTTTTCCATGTTTGACGTTGATATTTTTTTTCATTGACTTAATTTCAAAACCTCACTACTTGATGGATGACACGCTCTACTGAAACACTTTCACTGCTCTTTTCAACGTTTCCCTTCCTAATAGCCTGAAAATTTCCGCTAATTTGTAGTTTGCTAATTGCCATCATCAATGTACATACACATTCAATACGATCTGACGGGCTGAAGGGAGAGCTTACAGCCAAACAGCTGATGTACCAAGGTCATTTGCTTCCAATGCACCGGTACGCGGGATAAGCCACGTACGCCTAATCGATGACGTATTTTCCTGTGATTGGACTAAGCGTTGTTTACGCGTAATAAATTACGATGCATCATTAAAACAAAAAAATGTACTTATGAGGACTATAAGAAAAGATAAAAACAAATGAGATTTGCTTTATACCACGGCGTAGTTGCAAAAGCTCAGTTTCCCTCCTCGTACCAGGAGCTCAGTTTACTCCCGAAAGCGCTTAGGGTGGCTTGAGCTCCAGTGCAGACGTGAGCCTGACGTGAGCGTTTGAGGCTGGCTGAAGCAATCAAGCAGAAGCGGCTGAGCGTGTGAAGGACGAACACGTAATGTGTCCACATAAGTGTGTATTTGCGTGGAATTTCCGAAGCAGAAATGTGTAGGGTTGAGGTGACAGTATACGTGACTTTAGTATGAGAAGAATCCGCTGAACGTAAACGTCGGGCAGGAATTCAGTAAACGATGGCAGTGACACATTCCATTAGAATATTTGTTGTTGTTGTTGTTGTGACGTTGTTTTGTTTTAGCAGTGCATACTTTGGAACTGAACCAAAAAGAAACGATCATTGCTTTTGTCAGGTAAAAAAACAACAAACATAACCCACAGATTATGCAGAAATAATGAATAATAATAATAATAATTGTAAAAATATTAATTTTCATTATTACATTTTATCAATGGCAAAGGTCAGGAAACATTTCCTTAATTTTGTACATCAACTAAGAGGTTCTGTGTTTTAAAAAAAGTATCCATAGATATTTTAATGTATAACATTGTTATTCAATATTTGAGTATGTATTGGGAAAGACAGTGTTGCTTTGAATGTTGTACTTTAGAATTGTTATTTTTTCTTTAAAATTTGTTCCCAGTGTGACTTACAACAATATTATACATATCTATGAATTATTTTCAGTTGAAAGGAAGCATCGATGAATGTGGTTGTAGTGTAGACACAGTAGACCATTTTAACAACAAGAAAATATATCCACGTCTGAAAAGTCTATTACAAAAGGATTATTTCAGATTTTACAAGGTATTAAATTCAAAATTCTATGTTAATAACTTATTTTGATGAAGTTAATATTCACTCCAAAAGCATTTCGTTCAAATATCATTTGTTCATTGACTGGTTTTCCTTTATATAGTGTTTGATTAAGTTTTTAATGGCTTATTTGTGTTTGATTATAGGTGAATCTGAAAAGGGAATGTCCATTTTGGGCAGATGATAGCCGATGTGCTATGAGATACTGTCATGTGGAACCCTGTTTGGAAGTGAGTTTTTAAGAATCAAAATAAAATTTAATGTTTTGTATATTTTTTGAGAATCCATATTTAATTAAAGTTTAATGGTTATGCTTTTATTTAGGAAGATATACCACCAGGCTTAAAAGGTCGACATTTGCGGGAGCTACCATTTGAAGAAGACATGTCTGTCAAAGTAAGAGTAAATATGTTGCTTAAACTTTAAAGATCTTTAAGGAAGAAGCTTACTTAACAGAAATTAAAAAGTTTCATTTGCATCAAATTATATGTGTTGCTCTATTAAAATACTGTCTTACATACAATTTATGTAGCAAAGTAGTGTCCTGAACTCTACTGAAAAGCAAATTTATCTCACTCACTGCAATAAATTATTTGTTAAAAATTACTTTTTGAAATGTAGGTTGTGCATGATAATTTTTATAAAATAACTTATATTGAGATAATTGAGTAAATATTGAATTATTTACTTTTACCTTTATAAAAGTGAAAAGCAAACTCAAGTAGTGTTAGTCCTATAATAAAAATATCCTTTAACAAATTCCTAATCATCTGTCTATGTTTATTACATAATAAATCAATGTAACTAACAGATTATATTAATTTAGAAATAGTGACATAAGCTGACATAGCAAGGAAACAATCATTGTTCTGGATGATGCAATTTATAATCTTTAATAGTGTCAACTATCGCAAAGTATCATAGAAAGTATCCATTAATTAATATTTCTTATCGCAATCTCAAAACCTTCAGCCTAAAAATAGAGCCTTCTTTTACTCTGGGCCTGCCTGCATTGCAGGCCTCGCGGTCATGAATGTTACGGCACTGCAAGGAGTATTGTTACTTGATTCCTGGATCCCCTTGCAGTTTGATATCCTCCAGAATGAAGTTGAAGTACAGGATATGTCCTAAAAATGCTTTTTGCAATGTCGCCAATTTTCATTTTCATTATTGAAAATTAGGTGTACTGTATAATTACATTTTTCCTGAAAGTGGTCTCTCAAAAGATATAAATTAAGAAAATTGCTATCCCTTCTTTCGGCGTACCCCATTAAGGGGGAGGGGCATTGACTGATATCGCAAACCAGCGAGCATTGATCTACTCCCTCAATCATTAGTCCCCTTCCAGTAGATTTTGGATTTTGAGGTACTAAATCTATGATGACAGGCTGAAAAAAAGATTCATTTTTCCTGTTACTGTTAGGTGTATAGAGAAGATTTAGAAATAGTTTTTAAAAATTGACAATAGGGTAACTGGCAAATTATTTTGAAAATCATTTTAGTTGCTTTTTCGAGTTGATGGAATGGCTTGTTGAGTTAAAAAATATATAATTTCTACCGCTATGCCCAATGGACTTCTATAACTTATTTATCTTCCTCTCATTTTTGAGACCTAAAAGATGAAAAGAACTGAAATAATTATCAACTAGTATTTCAGTGAATGAATTTTCTGTTATTTTAAACAATTTTAGAAATATATTTATTATTATTATTATTATTATTATTATTATTATTATTATTATTATTATTATTATTACCACAGTGAGCACTTGACAATCATAATAGTTTTTTGATGGGCTAAACATTGTTTGTCATAATATAAGTATTTGGCTAGCTTGTTTATTCTTCTTTGTGTAGTACACAGAAAGTGTTCAGGCAGAAGATTGTGAAGTTGATCATGATGATGACCTTGGTTACCTTAATACTACCATAAGGTTTGTATAATTGATGTTTTGGTATAGTTAGTGACTGAAATGTACATCAAATTTAGGATCAGTTATGATAATAAAGACCTTATTAAGATAATGATGTTGATAATTAATTTTCTTCAAAAGAAATTTTATTTTTGATGCTATGTAGTGCTGCAGCATATGAAGAGTTTGCTCGTTGGAAGGAACATGATGATGCACTTGACAATTTTTGTGACATCAATAGTGATGATGATGATGCTCAATATGTTGATCTCTCTCTAAATCCTGAACGTTATACTGGATATAAGGGAAAATCAGCTCATCGCATCTGGAACAGTATTTACAAAGAAAATTGCTTCAGGTAAACTGAAATAACTTCTTATAGGACAAATCATTTAAATTATTTGAGCAAAACATGATAATTAGTTGAGAACAACACTAAAATTGTTGTTATTTTACAGAGGTAGACTGTACTCTGTCGTTTAAATGTATTCTTGACAGAATACTTGTGTTTTCTATTGCTTTGGTGTATTTTCTCAATAAAAAGGAATACATTGAAAAATATGTATATTTTTATTGCTTGTAATTGTTGTGAATTATTTGCATTAACTTGTATTATCCACTTTGACATGTTCTGTACTTGAAGATAATGGGAACTAGTACTTTATCAAATAGTTATATTTCTGCTTTAAATATTGTTATTTGTCCTTATTTCAGACCTAAAAATAGCTTCAATTCTTACATAGCATCATCAAAACTTAATGGTTAGTATCTTTTTACCTTATTTATTGCAACTAACTATTTTAATTTATTCTTGTTACTTAGTTTCTTAATGTTTTTTGTGAAAACATGAATTTTTTATTTTTTTATTTTCAGGAATGTGTTTGGAAAAACGAGTATTTTATAGAGTCATATCTGGATTACATGCTAGCATCAATATACATCTGTGTTCCAACTACTTATTATCTGGTATGTTAATTCTTCATTTAGTGACAATGGTTTTCTGGGATTTAGTATGAGTTTTAATTTTATCCATGGCCAGTATGTGTTAGCATGGGGATCCTTTAATCTTTGAATGTATTGTGCATGCAAGAGCATTCACAGTTTTCTATGTATCGGTATTAAAGAATACAAATAAATTACTTCATAATGTTGTACTTAGCCTACTGGGATGTTTTACAAAATAAATTAAATGGTCAACATATATGTTTATCATCATTAATGGTAACAAATAGTAGGAGGACAACTCATTTTAACTTCTACCATTTACAAACCACTTAGAAACTTCATGTAAAAATCTTGCTTAATCCTGTTAGCTGTGTGGCTTTATAATGTAAGACTTTCTCTAAATAATCCTCCTGTGTTGTAGATTGAAAATGATATAAGACTCTCATAAAGTGGCTTTAAAAAACCTTGTGAGCAATTATTTGATAATGTAATGTGAAGTTAGAGCATGTCTTCAATGGTCTCTTAACTGTTGATGAAGAATAGAAAGTATGCATTACAGAATGTATGGAAATTCATGGTCAGAAGTTCCTAGGTTGTTAAAATGAGGCAGGAAAATTAAAATCCTTATAGCAAGTATGATAATATGTTAACAATTCATTTCATTGATGAAGATTTTTGTCTTAAAGATCCTTATTATCTATACCTTGAAACATTATATCCAGCCTTATAATGTGAAATAAATCAATTATATTTAAAGTGTCCATTGTCATTCATATTTACTGATTGTCTTAAAAAATAGAAACCAGTTGAAATAATATTTATCTTTCACATTATACATTGTTGGCCCTGCTCGGCCTTTATCATTAGTTCATTGATTTTTGTAGAATAAATAATACTTTATAAAGTATAGGTTTTGAGGTATTGAAATTAATAGTTTTTATATTTGTGTTAATATAATGTTTGCATTTTCACTGAAGATATCTTTTTTTTGGGTTAATTTGTGATGTCAATTTTGTTCATGTGAAACATTTCAGAGTAAACTAGAAATCTTGAAAATATAATGATCTTCTTACTTTTATTGTATTATTTATTATGATGTGATTTTAATCAATGTCAGTTACAATAATTAATTTTATTGCAGAAAAGAGCACTTTAAGCTTTGACTCAGTCACCGGCCAATGGGGTCCTAATTTAGAAGAATTTTTACTTCGCTTTGATCCACGGAAAACTGAAGGGGAAGGACCTCAATGGTTACGCAATTTATACTTTTTGTATTTACTCGAGCTACGAGCTTTGGTGAAGGCTGCTCCTTACTTGGAAAGAGAGGAATATTATACTGGTAATGACCAAGAGGATGAAGATGTTAGGCAAGCTGTGAAGGATATTTTGCGGGTCGTGAGGTATTATTAAAGCATTGTTATTACAACGGGAATTGTTTACTTTATGTCACACCAACATAATTGAACTAAAATTTTTGCCTTACACTTAAGTTTTGCTGAATACTTTTTGTAGCATTTATTTGTACTATGTTTCTATTCCAGGTCATTTCCTGAACATTTTAATGAGAGTGTTATGTTTACTGGTGGGAGTCAGGCCCGTAAACTTAAAGAGGAATTTCGTCAACACTTCCGTAATATTTCTCACATAATGGACTGTGTTGGATGTGATAAATGTAAACTTTGGGGAAAACTTCAGGTAAATGTTACTACATTTAAACTTGTACAGAAGAGCCTATTCTAGGTGTTTTAGGTTGTTGTTGTTGTTTTTGTTTATTTTTTACCAATGCAATTTTCATGATTAGAACTATCAAAGTTGTGAAGTTCATACCTTTCCAAAATAAGCTAGCTATTTTTTATGTAAAATTCTAAAACAAGCATTAAAATAATTGCAATTTTTTAAAAATTTTAATTGTTAAAAAGGGCCAATTATTATCAGTTATTGATGAGGGTAAAAATCAAAAAGAAGCTGCTAAATGTTAGTAAAACTGAATATAATGTCGTCATTATTGCCTGATTGGTAGCCTGGGGTCTCCTTTTAGCACTACAGATCTTTGAAATAAACAAATGAAAAGTGTATTATGAGTTCCCTTAAGCTGCTCACTGTGGCGGGTTTACGCAAGGGATGCTCCTGAGCACTACACTCTGTGCCGCCCTTATTTCTATTCTTTAATTTTTTAATAAAATCAACAAAGTTTCAATAATTTTTTTAATTATTTATTCAATTAATAATAATATAACCTACTTAACAATAAGATGAATAACATTACACAAAATAAAATAAAATCTCTTGAGTCTTGCTGATTGAACAACGAATTGATTGATGAGATCATCAGTGTATTTATTTTAAAATTTTGGATTCTATTCCCAACAAAGCTAGTGCTTTTAATTGACCTTTGGTAATTTTTGATCCCAGGTAGTTTGTCACCCGTATCAAACACGAAAAAATCTTTCAGCATTGCAATTACTTATCGGTGTGTGAACAATCATCTGGTATGCAATATCAACATTAGGATACACCATATGTCAATTTTATGAATAAAATTCATCAGTGCTATTGGAGAAGTTCAAATATTTTTCTCAGTGCAATGTGCTTGGAAGTGTGGCATTTCATTTCACATTGTGCCAATCCATCACAGAAAGGCAACAAGTTTAATTTTTCTTATACTACATTGCTTGCTTACACTCAAATTTTCGAGTTCTAAAATTTTGGAAAACTTTCCACTTATAGTCTTGTAAGCTTTGTTTCTTTGAGTTAACTCGATCTTAAATAATCTCGAAAAATCTTAAATAACATAGAAAGGTTAGACTTAGAAGTGAATGCAGCAAGTTAATTCAACTTCCCCAACATTGGTCTTGTCTAATTAAAGTTTTATTTTCTCTCTCTGACCAATTGCAGATTGATATTCTTTGTTTATGGACATTTCTATGCTTTTTTCCCCTTCATAAACATTAACTTTGTTTTGCATGTCTCTTACAAGCTGGAACAACGTATTATGCTGATCAATAGCCTCGACAAAGCTTGTATCAATGCTTTGCAGATTTTTACTTGTTGAACAGAATCTGCAAATTAAAATATCTCACAAGCATTGCATGAATGAAATCTCCAGATGTTTCATTTGACACCGAATCTCCCTAGCTTTGGTTTGAGAAGTCGCTTTCTCACATCATTTTAAATCTTCAGTAACACTACATAAATTTCTGACCAAAACTTCGTAAGGCAACAAACAGAGTAGTCTTTAAGAAAAAAATGTTAAATGTTTTTAACTTTGTCAATATTCTCCAAGTTAAGTGATTGCTTTGACCGAGATATGGCTAATTGAAGCTTTGAAAATTTATATGATAAAATATTTAGTTTATTATTTACTTCAATTACAAAAATTTAATACATATGTGTATATAATAAAACAAATAAGATGCAATTTAGCATGCTGAAAACTGTAGTATTAAAAAAAAATTGAATTTATATAATTTTGTTAAAAAAATTACAGGATATCGTACTTTGCTCTCCACCTTTTGAGCATAAATGGCCTTGATGATTCAACACGGACATTTGTAATTCCTGTCAATAAATAAGTTTTCGAAACAAAAAAGCTTTTGGATTAAAGAAAATTTATTTCCCCTAAAACTCTGCCATCCAGGGTACAGCACCCACGTGTAAATCCACCATTGACTGCTCATGAACAAAAATTAAATATAAAGGGTGTTGATTTTTCAGATATCAAATTAAGTTGATGACCAATAATTCTTAATTTTTTACTGCACTTCATTAATGTTAACTTATTAACACTAATAACATTTGAGTAATTGAGTGTTGAAAAGAACAATGAAGTGTTATGCTTAAATCTTGAGTTGTTTTGGATCATATCTGTAAACCCTACTCTTCCTACAGTTGTAGTCACCTAATATAATATTTACAACTTTAAAAACCAACTTCATTTCATTTAGAAGTAAATTTTATGCAATATCTTTGAATAAAATCTGGATTGTAAAATTTAAGTAGTATTAAAAACAACTTTTTCATACTTCATGAAATTAATGTTTTTTTAATTAATAGGTTCATGGATTGGGTACTGCACTTAAGATATTATTTTCTGGAAAATTTGATGGAGTGGATCCGACTGGTGCTGATTTAAGTCACATGGCGAAAAGTCAATTTCAGTTGCATCGCAGCGAAATTGTTGCTTTGTTGAATGCATTTGGCAGGTATGTGAATAAACGGAAATACTTTTCCATATTCAGATATTTTGCATGTTTCTTACAAATTAATTGTGATAAAATAATTTGAACATTTAGGGAGTTACATAATTGTTTAGAAACACTTAAATACTTACTATATTACAAAGTAAGAACAGAATTACCAAAATTTATTTCATACCAATAATGTTTTTGGATTTTCCTTACAGACTTTCCACAAGCATATATGAAATTGAGCGATTTAGAGGAATGATGAGATAGCATGATCAATTCAGTCTCTTCTGAGTTTTTCACCATATGAATATGATACATCACATGCACATAATCAAATAGGTTAGTTGGACAATTTTGTGTGTCTGCTTGTTTGAATGTTCGATGAGAAGAGACTATTGAAAGTAATTTTGTCAGGTGGTGCAGTAAACTAAACTAGTCCTTTTTGACCTTTCTATAATCTATAAAACTATTTTAATACAAAGAAGAAAGTTCTTATTTTTGTGAAGTCTTAGTAACATAATGAGGGATTCAGAACTTTCAGTATTTTTTTCTGACCTATATGAATGTACAATTCATTCTGAAGGAATGGAAATCCACAAATCACAAACATACTCTTTTTTTACTTGTTGAAAGTTTAACTATTGTGAAAAAATGAATATTCTAATTTTCAAATTCAACTATCAATTGTTGTTTTGTGTTTTTTTGTGGTTTTATTGTTATTATGTATTTTATTTATGTATGAGTCTTAAAGTTCCTGTGTTGTCAAATCTCCTTTTAAGAATGAGGTTGATAAGATAATTGTTGCAGGTAATGCTAAAGTTCAGGATTGGCTAGAACAATATTGGTGTTTGTTTTATTTATTTGAACCAGAATTATTTATGTTAAATAAAATTAATGAAATTGGAACAAATTGAAGCAATTATTGGCTGCATAAGAATGTTTGTCAATTTTTAAATTTCCTGAAACTTTCCTCCAAAGCAAGTTGGAAACTTACACTGTGAATATATAGAACAGAAAAAATAAGAAGTATTATTTTGTGTTAGTGTGTGTATATTATCATATGTACTTCAGAGTAGCAAAGGATCTGAAAATGTTTCATGTTATTAATTATTTTTGTTCATTAAAATGAGAACTACTAAGTGTGTCTATTCTATTTTTGAGCTTATCACATGTAGATAACACACTGAGGTCATATCTTAAATATTAAAAAAAAAAATGTAAATATTGTGCAATTTAGGATCATTAAATTTATGAGTAGTAATGTTATGGAAAATTGCTTTGCTTCTTTTCAGTATGTATTATTTCATAGTGTTTACAATTATATAGGATTGTATGCAAAATTGGAACTTGATTGAGAAGGTACACAGCAAATGGAAGATGTATACTTATAAGCCTTGTATACTTATAAGCAAAACTTAAATTGTGTTGATTCCCTCCAGTTTATTTTAGTCCTTAAAGTTGAGCTTCTTATTTGTCATAAATTAGGAACAACATTTGGTTTTGTCAAATTCACAATATTTTTTTAGGAGTTCAATTCATCTTTAATGAATTTTGATTGGCATTGTAATGTATTTTTTTATTCGCATTTTTACAATTTTTTGTTTCACATCCCTATTTGGGAGTAAGTTAGTTAAACTAATTGTTGCAGATAATGCTAAATTTCTTTCTTGACTTAGAACAAGATCAGTGTTTTATTTTATTACAAGGTAGAAAACTTCAGCCAAGGTGAACATCGTCATGAAAAGGAACTGCACTCCAAGCTTTTAAATGAGCTCTCAAGCAATTCTGTTGGTGGTCTTGAGGGCTTCACAATTGGTCCTAAATATTAAGGCTCACATGGTGTAGGGGCCGTCTTAAAGATTGACCCACTCCCCAAATTTTTAAATTAGTTCTCAACCACCTCAATCGAGCTTTACTATTGTTACAAACATTAGATATTAATTATGTATAAATTATGGTATTTCAATAAGTACTATTTCATTCATCAAATGGAATAATTTTATTAGAATTCTATTGGGAAGCTGCAGAATGAAGTTGCTTTAGCTTCCTCCTTTTTAAAGGCAACATATACCCACAGTTGATCCACTCAGACCACTTCTACTATAATTCTTTGCTGAAAAATGTACTGCTACAAATACTCTTATTGAAAATGCTTTTCCAACAAATGGTAAACTTATGTAAGCAACTAACCCAATGTGCATGGTAAGAGGTTTTTCTTCTCCTTTTGACCATTGTAAGCATAATATGTTGCAAAATATAATTGAATTAGCATCTAGTTTTATTGTTAATGGTATTTTGTTGGGCACTGTGCACAACAAATACTTCTTTCTAATCTTTTTTTTTTTCATTCTGTGCTGTACCGGATATTTCTTACAGCTGTGCTGTGTGCCAAATTTTTTAAAGAAATGTAGCACCCACAAACTGTTTTAAATTTGTAAATGAATTATTTCTTCAAGTTACTGTTGTATCCAAAGGAAATGTGTGTTCAACATATATGGGAGCAAATATATTTACTAAGAAAGCTCAGGAATTGAAGTTTAAAGGACTTTTAAGACCTAGTTCAATAAGGTTTAAAGTAACAGGAAACTATAGTAACAATATTTCATTTGTATGTATCTTTTATTTTAATTTAATTATGCAATGGGTTTCATATTACTTATCGTGATTGAAATAGCAAATGTGTTGTATTTACATGTTGAACATATATTCAGATTAGATGAATACTTCAGTAAATTACAAGAATTCTGAATGGTGAAAAAGTTCAGCATCAAATATTTGAGAAAATATTTAACATCTCTATTAAGGATGACGGCTGGCCATATCTGAAGGGAAAAGCAGGTGGTGGTTAGAACTTTCACTCTCCCTTTGGCCAACTAATATTGGAATTAATTGTAATTTTTTGTAACCATAAACCCAACAAAGCCACAAAAGCATTATTGAAATATGGCATTTGTTATTTTATGGCAACGCTGTTGCAGTCTCTGCATACATGTAGTACTTCAATTATCTGTGATAATTAGAATTACCTAAAACAAAACCTTTCATTTATTTATTATGGAGCTGGCTCCCTTTCTAATTTTCCTAATTTGTATAAATGTAAATATTTGTCTGGTGGTAGATGAGAAAACAACTTTTATCTTATTCTAGTTCTTGTTTTTAATGTTGGACTATTTATGTACAATTTGTATGTGAATGGAAAGTAAATAAAAATAGTGATGGTAAAGTTTTAAGAAATACAATTTTTATATTTATTTGACTGTTACAATTATTGTAGAAACTGTGTTTAAAAATTATATTAATTCTAGAACTTCAAATTGTAAAATATTTATTGCTCTCTTTTTTTTACATTAATTTTTTACTTATTTCACATCAAGAGATATTATTATACATTTCAATATAGGAATATGAGACAAATATATATTTCTATTTACCTGCAATTGTAAACATTTGTGAGGGTTGAAAACTATAATTTTCTGGAGAACTGTTTCCACTCAAGTAGAAAGGAAATTGATCAAACCAATCTCTGCTCAATATATCTGGCAAAAATGTGAAATCATTCAGAGAGACTGAATTGGGGTGAAAACTGGATTCGAAATGTTTCATTATACATAAATAATAATACTACACAAAGTTTCATATTGATTGTTCTAGTTTACTAAGTGGTTGCAAATATAAAAACAACTTGTAAGATTAATATTTCTGTATTTTTCTTTAATTTTCTTTTTATGTTTGGTTTCATAAATTCTCCACTTCAGACATTTTTGAAAAAAAGATTTGAAGTTTAATTTCAGAAATTCTGTATCTGTTTTTGGTATAATGAATGGTATTTTGGTATATTATGTTTATGAAAACTGTTAGAATAAAATGACATTACTTACAATAAATGTGATTGTTTTCTTAATTGGTGTTTATCATTTCTGTGGGTTAATTTCAGACTTAATCATAATGAATATCTGTATTTTTCTAAGATTCATAAATGTATGTTCTATTGAGACATCGGGTTACTTCCAGGAATTTTTATGAACACATAACTTATATATGAAATTAGTATCATATGAAACCTTACTACAAAAGTACTTAGAAGATTTTCCTCTCTAAAAGATGATCAGAAGCTCCCATTACAAAAAATATATTAGATTCGATGTTGATTTTCATGAAGAATGACAAATCCAGTTTTTCCGAGGGGGAAAGGAAGAGAAAAAAAATAAAATTTAAATGTTACTACTGGGCTCGAAATTCGAACCAACTGCCGCGTCACAGCAGACAGCCGGTGCGGCGTCTGCCCACGGGACTGGGGGTTGCGCCGTTTCTCCGCGTTTGAGAGAAACTGCAGTGAGGCAAACATCGCTTGGCGCACACCAGAGTAGTACTTTAACAGTACAGGAACACCCGAGACGTCGTTTGACGACTGCGAAAACTATGATTAATATTAACCTTTATGTGATATGGAATAAATAAATTATAAAACTTCCTGTGTCTAAAAATTTTAAAGGGACGTGTAATTTCGAGAAAAGAAAAATACTGTCCTAAATTGTGTTCGTGGTATGGGGGGCACCCGAGTACTCGTGTATTACATCTATACCCTCATACTTCCATAATTTATCAACTTCACGGGCAAATGTGTGCGAGATTGTGTGCCATTGGCCCATTCGTGTATTTGAGGAACTGGATCCTTAAACCAAGATCAATTGTAGCCACGAGCACCGTGATGGGATAAAATGATATCATTGGCAAATATGTAATGATGCAGGAATGAGAGTCATACTCAGTGTTAGAGCGTGAAGGTTCATTGGGAATGGCCCGAGAGGAGTGTAAGGTACCGTGAGAGGGCTTGGTTGAGCTGACATACAGCTGGGAAGAGGATGAAGCAAAACTTGAAATGCTAGCCCACACTTAAGAGAATAGCAAATTAACTACTTCGAGAAGATCTGTGCATTCTGATTCATCGTTGATTTTCAATATTGTAGAACGAAAATAAAACACGTTTTTGTTTAATGTATACTGTAAAACAGGATAACTTAGCTGATTTACCTAATTTCGAGACTACCGTCGTCAACTCAATAGATATCTCTAGCAATCTAAATATGTCACGAATATTGTCGCCTGCTGATTATGAAGTTACTATCGACTATCCAATAGATGTCTCAAGTTACCACATTATTTCACAAATATTTTTGTGCGTTAATTTGGAGATCACCATGGGCTACCGATATATGTCACTAGTTATCTCAACATTTCACGAACATTTTCGCGCGCTAATTATGAGATTACCTTGGACTATTCAATTGATGTTTCCAGTGGCGTAACGTTCGGGCCCGCAATGCAGGCGGGCCCGAGTAAAAGAGGGCCAATTTTGTGGGGATACTTTTAATGATTTAATTTAGTAACACTAATTGTGTTTGCAATACACTCCACCAAGGGCGAAACTTTTGCGGGCGGGCTTCTACTCATTCCATTACGCTACTGAATATTTCAACTTATCTAAATATTTCACAAATATTTTCGCGTGCTAATTTGGTGAATTTTGTCATATACACAATGGACTTCTGTAGCTATTTAAATTGTCAAATATTTTCGCACCCTAATTTTGAGGTGACCGTCGCCTATTCGATATACGTCACTAGGCATCTGAACATTTCACGGATATTTTCGCGCGCTAGTAATGAGATTATCTTCGACTATCCAATTGATATTTCTAGCTATCTAAATATTTCACGAATATTTTCGCGTGATAATTTTGAGATCATCATTGTCAACCCAAGATGTCTCTGGGTATCTAAATACTCCACGAAGCGCGCTAATGGACACTCAGTGACAATTGATATCATTGCAGTACTGTGGGTCGTAATATGGAAATGTGAAATCCATTATAGACCTTGAAGCCCATTTAAAAAAATAAAATATGTATATATTAGTTTAGTATCCCGAGAAGGAATAATAACACATTTAACAATTAGTTTGGTTAAGATCCTATTTCGTCCAGGGTGGTACATTTTTTAAATAACTTCGGCCGTGCCAAAAATTAAAAGAAAAATGTAGGAGAGCGTCAGACCTAAATTACAACTAGAATCTTCAAAAACCTCTGTAACAGATTAGAAAGGGCAAAATTTAATTTCACTTGGCCTCCGAAAAATCTCCAAATTGTGAGATAATAATAGGGGACAATGTTGACGAGTTGGTTATCTCTGAAGTTAATGAGGTGCTGCAAGAGAAACGATTTCAGATTTAAGTTCGTATATCGTCCTAACCCAACTCCTCAACGTTTCTGCATTTCATCCAATAAATAAAAAGAAAACGGGACACGAGGCTAAGGGCATCTGATGTCACTGCAGTGCCTCTGACCGGGAGGTCCTGCACCGAGTTCGGACGGTGGCAGGATTTTCGACACTAGCTAGATAGTTACGTCGAGGCCTGTTGCTGGCTGGAGGAGAATTCTAGAAATCTGCTGTTCCGATCGGTAGTTTTCCGTGGTTTCTTCGATCAATGCCAGGCGATTACCAAAGCAGTATCCTGACAAACGGGCCGCGAACTTTCCTTCCCATTCCCTGTCGTATCCTCAGCCCTTACATACACAATTGCATGCACTACTCTACCACATGTCGAGAGACCGGTCGGGAGCCTAGAGCTTGTCCGGCTGAAACGGTGGCCCGCTGGAAGAGATACCTGGTTGGGGAAACCCCCGCTAGCCAGCAGGTAGGTCGGCGCCGGATCTTGCCACTAAGCGGAGGCAAGGTCACAGCCACCTCCCGAGCAAAAAAAGTCCCTACACGTACGGGAGTAATGACAGCAGTAGACGCGCTCGGAATCACTAGTCAAACAATTATCTAATAAAAGTTTAATTGAGAAAAAAGTCTCGATGATTAGAAAAAAATATTTCGGTGCTCTTAGCCCACCAGATAATCTCCCTCGACACGAACAAAGAGTCCACAACACAGGCACTTTGAAAAGCCAGACTAGATGCTCGCCGCCATGTTGCATGGAGAGCCAGAAGTGTTCTGAAACATTTTGGAAGTGGCATAAAGAGACTCATTTTCAACAGTGACCAACCAAAAATAATACGATGAAGGCGTAATTGATATAAAATATGAATTATTTTTTATTTCAATGACATAACAACGTGATAATTCTCGTACCTGGCTGTATTTAAAATGACCGATAATATAGGCTCATTGCCTGAAGTGTGCTGAAGTGCCTGAGGTTCATTGCCTGAAGTATTCGATGCGCAATAGCTAACCCATCTCTTTCCACCATGGGAATGCCGGAATGTGAAAATAATTGATCACGTGACAGTATCAGTGTACTTACGAACTCGGGGGAGTTCATTTCGCCAACGGGTTCGCGGTGGCGCGCGGGGTAGGTCAGCGTTTGCGGAGGGGAGCGCAGATCCCTTCGGCTCCTCTCGCACCACCTTCGCCATCGCCGTCTCGTGCTGCGCCGCCAATGTTTTTCTCACCGATATCAAACGTATAATTACGGCGTATTTGACGCGAGGAATGTGTTTTCAGTTACCGCGTAATAATAATATCGTTAAGCGCCGCTTTTTCTTCCCATCCAACCGTTTTTCTCCCCCCCCGCAGGCTCTTCCTTATTATTTTCTTTTTTTATTATTGTGAATTGGTATTACGGGCGGTAGCGTCTCCTCTCGTTGGCCGCTACACTTTTCCGAAGCCCGTAATTCTTTGTTACTTTTTCCTCCGGGAGCGGGGGTGGGAGGGCCCGCGGCGGCCACGCGAGGCCGATGCATTGCGGGAGTGATTAGCAGGCGCCGCGGGGGCGGGGGCGGGGGCGGGGGCGCAGACCATGCGTTTCCCACATGCGCCTCAAATGTCTGTGCTCCGCGCCGCGCCGTGTGTGAACCGCGCGCGGCCCCCAGTCCCAGCTCCGATCAGCGTCCGTGAGGAAGACCAGGGCACCGCGCTGGCTCCGCCCCTCGTTATTCGGCCGCACGCGGCAAATTGTGAGCCGCGGCGGACGCCACCGGCTTCAGCTGTTTTATCTCTGGTGATGGGTTGGGGAACTAGAGGGCGCCGCGGTTTTTACCGCAGTCTCCGATTAATTACATCTTGTCAGTGTTCCTAAGCTACATTAAACAATAGAATTTGCAAAGATTTTTTTTCCATTGTAATTAGACGATGCGAGGGGAGAAATCAGAATATTATAGCAAACCCATTATTACTACTTTCGTTTATGATAGATTATAAAAGCCACGAAAGGAAATTTAAAGTAATGGTGCAACACCAGCACGTACTCTCTCGCACTTAGTAACGGTTACGTAACAATATACTCCTCCAAATTCTGTCCATACTAACGATTCCCAGAACATTAGGTGCGAAAATTAATTATTTTAAAGCGAATTTATGAACACAAATTCCACAATTGAAGCCTTAAAAATTAGAAGGGAACGACCCAGTACTAGTTGCATTATTAATGCAACTAGTGGTGCTAAAACAGCACGTACTTTTTTTGCCCATAATTTCACGTAAAATTACGCGAAAAAATATTCGAAAAATTGTACATGACCTTATTTTAAAATCTATCTTTAAGGAACCGATTTCATTAAAGAAAATAATCTCTAGCTTCATAATTGTAGTTGTAGGAAGACGCCGAAAAAAAGTTGAACGTTTGCAATTTTCAAAAAATTAGAGTTTGTAACGAAAATGAGACCTGCACTATTCTCTTGAACGTCTTTCACACTATCCAACAACAAAATTTAATCAAAACCGACGGCGCCATTTGATTTTAAAAATTTGAAAGCAACTCAATGTAAAGTACACCCAAAATTAAAATACCGGTATCAAATGCAAAGGGCTGCTACATTAGCCACATCGTTTGGGGATTATCAATTTTGGAGAAAATCGGCTGCATGGTTTACCCGCTAGCATTGTTCACAGGCGGACAGACGTTTTGTCATCATTGGATTTTTCAGTAACAAAGACCCAGAAAACATGAATTCTGGCTACCCTACGTGTTAGAGGGTTTTTTTCTATATTTAGCAACTGGATTTATCCACTTTTTCGTTACCAGACCCCTGAAATAATTCTTTAAATTGCTTGAATATAAGAAAGTACTTCTATAAATATGTTTTAGTTCCCATTTTCATTAAATATCTGATATATAGAAAGTTGTAAACGTTCAATTTTATTTTCGAACCTTCATTTAAAACCAGCGATTTTTTCCTCGATGCAATTTATCCCTTAATTTTAGATCTTGAAATGATGCCATCCACTTAAAAAATAGTGTTTTTTTGTAATAACTAGAGGCCCAAAGATGACGAAAAGTTTCGGTATGTCGCCGACTGCCATTAGTTAAGTGTGCCGTCTTCCAAGTGACCTTGCGGTTCGGCGTCACACTCGTTAGGAGTATAATTTATTGAGCCCTCCTTCCCCGGTAGGCCTATGGCTCAAGAGCATTTACGTGACTTTTTGTTACAATTGCCAAACTATCACGTGTGTTTATTTCAAAAGTTATAATTTTTCTCCAAAAATTTAACATTCTTCACTGAACATTCACGCGATTTAAAAATACAGCATATCACATCTGTTCATACACTTCGCTGAACACGACCTCTCGTAATTTGAAAGCATAGCCCAACACATAATTTGAACACTCTGCATTAACAGTTATATCCACTGAACGGTTATAACTGTTAGTGCTGGAAGACATGGGATGAAAGAAAACATAATATACAAAAGTAAAAGAAACGGAAAAGAAAGAAAGAGAAGGAAAAGGATAGGAAAAGAAGAATGGAAAGAAAGAAAGAAAGAAAGAAAGGGAAGGAAAGGGATAGAAAAAGAAGAATGGAAAGAAAAAGGGAAAAGAAGAATAGAAAGAAAGAAAAAAATGAGAAATAAATAAAATCACGTAGGAAAGACTGTAATTCTCTTTGATAAAACAAAGGAAACTAAAGGAAGAAAGGAGACAGGAGAGCAAGCAAGCAAGGAAGAGATAAAAGAAATAAAGACTAGGAAAGGGATAAGAGAAAAAAGAAAAAAGTAAAGCAGTTGACAATACGAAGTAAGACGAGATGAAAACGCAAGCACAATCCGACGAAACAACTAATCACAAGAAACCTCACCCATCACAAGACAAAACGCTACACGATAAGACGGATTACGAGGAAAAAACAAGAAACAACACACGACACGACCACGACAAGAACAGATCTGACGAAAACCAGACTAGACAGAGGCCAGATTGACACATGACCCACACAAGACGGAGACCAGACCGACTGAGACCGGACCAGACCAACCAAGACCAGACCAACCAAGACCAGACCAACCAAGACCAGACCAGACAACAACACGCACAGACAACCAGACCACAACAACCAAGACCAGACAGACAAAACACCAACGACGCAGACCAGACAACAACAACCAAGACGGCAGACCAGACACAACAACCAAGACCAGACCAGACACAACAACCAAGACCAGACAGACCACAAAACCAAGTACCAGACCAGACAGACCAAAACAACCAAGACAGACAGACCAGACACAACAACCAAGACAGAACCAGACCAGACCACACAAAACAAGACCCGACGCAGACCACACAACCAAGACAAGACCAGACCACAACAACCAAGACCAGACCAGACCACAACAACCAAGACCAGACCTCAACAACCAAGACCAGAGCAACCAAGATCAGACCAAGAACAGAACAGACCAAACAAGATCTGCCTCGACAGACACGACACAACGCAGCTGACAATATGACAACTCCGAAGACAAGAATCGACACTGCAAGTTAAAATAAGATGCAACATGGTGATGCAGTACACAACAAAATAGAAGGCCAGGCAAAATAGAAAACGTGAGAAAAGAGAATTTGCGAAATGAGAAAAAGAAAGAATAGAAGAAATACATAAGATATGACAAGAGGTGAAAAGAAAGATGCTATTAGAGAAAAGAGAAAACGTAAGAAGGGATAATATACGATAATTAAGAAGAGGAAAAATATAAAAAAATAAGAAGAGAAAAGAACAATTAAGAAAGAGGAAAGAACAGGGAAAAGTGAAAATAAATGAAAGAGAAGGATAAGAGAAGGGAGAAAAGAAAAGCTCAGAGAGGCGGAAGGGGAGAAGGGAAGGAAAAGAGGATGAAAGAAGAGTAGACAAAAAAGAACAAAGAAAATAGAAAAAGAGTAGAGAGAGTATAATAGGCGGAAAGAGGTAAAAAGCGAAGTGTGGAGGAGAGAGAATAAGAAAGGAGATAAAACAGGGGAGAAAAGACGGAAAGAAGAGAAAATAAGTAATCCGTTTGAAGTGTTATTTTACCGTAACTTACGGCGTACTATGTAAGTACTTGTACAGACTTTTACTACTTCTGTCCGATTGCCCTGAATTCCTAGTATCATAGGCGCACGTATCGAGAGTCTGCAGACATGCTGTTCACTCGTCATTTTTATCCAGATTTCGTCTTACATTCCGTTGCCTCCACTATGGGTACTCTGCAAAAGAAATTTGAATTTGTAACTTTTAGTTTTACAACATCGTATAATGTGTAAAAGAGTATACTCACTTTTAGGTGCGCCGCTTGAAAGAATCAATTTTGCTTCTTTTTATTCGTGACTTTTTAGAACTTCTTTCTTGACGCATAAAATTATACCCACCCTACTTAACCACTGTATTTTTTAGTGTGTGCCCTTGTGTTTTGCTCATTGTGTCCGCTATATTCTGATCTGCAAGAAGTTGTCAATATACTCATTATTTATAAATACATATTTCATTTCAGTGCCAGTACATGACAACTTCTTGCCGAAGCTGCGGTACCTTACAGTACCAGACCTGCAAGAAAACAGCTGAAAAAGAAAACCTGCCTAAAGGGGAACCGAGACGAAACAAAAGAATGCAACAAAACATATCAACACTCAACAAAACTCAAAATATAACGGACACAACGTGACGCGCCATTTTGTACTGAGTGGAGTGATGTGACCGCCCTACGGAGAGCTGTGCCCTCCCAGATTACGCGAACCGACTTCAAGCTTCGGGTGATTGCGTCTAACCTGTGTCACCGTAGGGAGGTCGGGAGGGCACGGCGGCCACCAACACATACGCAGCGCCAGGCACGCAGCCCGCACACGTACGTCTGCGAGGGGCGCCGTCACTCCATGGAAGCGAGAATGCCAATGACGTATTTTATTTAATGTCAAAAAACATTAAAAATAACTGCACGTGATAGTTGATAAGACATCGACGAGCTGATTGTGACAAGCAGTCGCGACATCTAGTTTGATTTCGCGTGGCTTTCTCGTCCCGTTTGAAGTGAAGGGACCGGCACTCCACTCAGTTACTACTTACCACATCACGTACACTCTAACCAAACTCCACGTTTATTTTTTATTTCTCCATTAGAAATCCAGGAAAAATCCATTAGAAATCCATCCAGAAATCCAGAAAAAATCTGAAACAGAGGTAGACATGATTGGTGCTTATGACGGTCGATGGTTATGTTACTGATTACGATTATTATTTTTAAATTCATAAACACTCATTCCTGATTTTTAATTTCCATTACGAGGAAGTGCATATGGATGTACGTACAAGCACCTTAACATAAACATCCAAGTGTGTTATATGTAAAATGAAGTGATTACAAAAATAAATATCCAAGAAAATTAGCAACTAATTAACCCGATGATTTTAACATTCAATACTCTTCTCATTAATTCCAAGAATTGTAATTAATGTGAGTGACCATCGATTTAAAAAGTATGTGGTGAGATAAATAAATTAAACAAAATCTCACTCCCTTTTTATAAGTATCAAATATTTTGTACATTTTAATCCATTAATAAGGTTAACCTACGTCTGCAAAGACAAGTTTGGAGTATGCGCATCAGCAATCTTTCGGTAATGCAAGAAAAATTTAGTATCTCATGTCCAAAATTACAAGAATATGTTTCGTAGTTAAACACAGAAATCTAGTTGGAATTATTTTAAATGAAAACGCTGACCTTGGAAGTCCTGGCGACAGGTGGTGAGGCTGTGAGAACAGTTGAAATCCAACTTCTTCTTTGAACAACACATTATGATTTCACACGCGTTGCACTAGCACATATCACACGCTTAGCACCACAAACACACCCATAAAATTCACATCACACGCACAGCACCATAACACAACACAACACAGAACTTCACAAAACACAATTTCATAACGCTCGAGAACACGCACACTTCGCGACTGACCCGGCAGGTGGTTCGATTCGCACTGGAGGGAATGGCTACGGATTTGCGAGGCAAAGGGTGGCGATCTGGCGCGCATTTCATCGAATTCCGCTCCCGAGATTGAAACGAATTATAAAAATTATCTAAAAATTCTGCAATTATTTTTGGTGATATTCCTATTATTGCTTTTTTGTGAAATGCGTGTCATTTCCTTAAAAAGGAAATTGGATACATGCAGAAAAGTTCCCTCAATTTATTGAGAGCCAATAAGAATTTAAGTTGATCCCGCCTTGTTTCCCGCGACATGACATCATAAAAGAAAATTAATTTTATAAATATAATTAAAAGTTTTTTTAAATTCAGAAGAAAATTTTAAAATACCTTGAAATTCTTTAATTTTAGGACTTTTCTGCTGTTATCATTCTGTTCCATTTACGTAATTCCTTTAAAAAAATTACCTTTTGGGAGAAATATGTATTTTAAATATTTGATAACCAATAAAATTCCCTGATGATCCAGTTAATTTTTCTCAATGACGGTTATGGTAACATAAGACATAATACTCATAATCCAAAAGAAATGTAAACCTACATATGTATATGTAAATTAGAGACAAACGTTTTTTGAGTGAAGAATATATATTTACGAATACCTTTTATGAATATCCATTTTGGTAGCAAATTATTCTAAAATACTTTTTTATGGGGAAACAGGTGAATGATAAATAAAATTATTAAATTTGTGTAATCATGATTATGTAAATATATTTATATTTTTTATCAAACGTGTGCAGAATAACTTCCTGCAAATTAGTGAAATTCAAGTGAAGTAATGTAAAATGGGTAATCTTGTTAATACAGATCGTTCGCTATAAAACGTATGGTAATTGAGAAATACATCAATGGACGAGAACTAATCTCAAGCCACAAGCAGTTGCGTTTTAAAATAAAATAATGATATAATTTTAACGTTTAGGAAGAAATAAATTTCGAATTAAAATATAAGCCATCATTTATAACAATTCTAATGGCAGAATATAAACTGTTACTAAGATATCAGGATTAAATACGATAAATATGACATGAGTTGAAGTACGTATTCTACCCGATTAGTATTTTAATGTTGTATTTTAATATGATGGCAATCGAACACAGTTGTCGCAGTTTATCGCGTTTGTAAGAAATTCTTTAGTTTGCATTTCCTTCACTGCTGAATATTTTTAATTTTCTGGCCACTATCCATACAATAAATACGTTTTAATTTTAAAAACCAATCAAAGTTATATATATATATATATATATATATATATATATATATATATAATTAGACAGAATACATATAAAGCGTGTACAAGAAGTTTATTCGTAATTATGTTTTAGATTGTCCACTTATCACATGTCGCTGCTCGTAGAATCCACTGGTGCTGTCAGGGCGCCTTAATTACAACACCCGTAGAATCTACGGGCGCTTGAATCATACTGTGTATCTGCTTATATCATGCCATTTTTTGTTTGCTGACTAATCATGGAGGGTTCTACGTAAAAATAGTACATAAAATCACCGCTAGATTTCGTTTGCTGCCATTTAAGTGGTATTAAATAGCTTTGTGCATCTACTCTGCAGTGACGCCTAGTGAGTGCTCTTCAAAATTTCCACAGCGAAGTAAATTACTGTGAATAAAAAGTAGTTATCCTTATTATTTCAATAGACACTAATGTAATGTTATGTGTAATGGTAATATATTAACAGCGTTTGTGAGAATTTAATTATAATAAACGTTTTTTGAACTCAATTTTGTGTTATTCATATTAAACAAAACTTTAAAACTATTATGGTAAATGTAACAGTTGGAACTTATTGAAATGCATAAGATTGTCTCAATAAAATAAAAATGAATCTTGCTTCTATGTTCATTGGTTTAGAAGATGTGACTCATCAAATGTACCCCAAAATCTTCGGACAAGTGATGGAAAAAAGTTGGGCTGAGGATACGGTCTCAGAGTGCTATATTTCTTTTTCCCGATTTTTTTTCTGCATTTTCTCTTAATTTTCGATCAGAAAACTTGCGGAACCCTTTCCAAATTCGAGTACTACAGCCGCGATATATGTGTGTACGTTTCTAATGGCAGAACATTTGCTCAATGATCGGGTTAATTTCCGAATGCAGCAGTGGTGCTGTTGTGACGAGACAACCCTACGAGCTGGGATTCACGTAGTTTTCGAATTAGGCGACTAACTGATCTAATAAATGTCATTACAAATATTATTATTTACAGTAGCAAAACTTGGGGTTGCACCTCAATAAATTGACGGATAAATTGAATTGATAAATATATGTTTATCTAATTTACTTGCTACATTGAAAGTGCGAGACAATGGTTGTTGCAAACTGTTATTACGTGGTTTCCAGAGGCGTCACTATTTTTCGAACTTTTCACTTTGTAATTTAAGTCCTTAAACACTGTCGACTTACTTCGTAAGAAGAGACAATATTGTAATCGCGCGACAGAAAACGGCGAATTTTAGTCAGAAAATCTCTCATCGTCGAGCCCTGGAAAGGCAAAGGTGGATAAATATTGTTCTTAATTTACTTTCTCCATCGTGTTGTGTAATCAGAATCCATGTTTTGATACCGAAAAATCGACTGACGGCGTAACGTCTGTCTGCTCCTAAACTGTTCAGACAATTTTATTCAAAACTGATATTCCCCAACCGTTCTGAACGAAATCAAGACTCGGAATTTGACATTGATATTTTTTATTTACAAGAAACTTTGTCTAAGACAAAATTTTCATTCTTCACTTTCATAATTTTTTAAATTTTAACCTTTTACAATTTTCTAAAATGGGGAAAGTTTACCGAAAATGGGACAAGCATAATCATTGTACCGTTCCTTCATGCGTACGAGGATAAAATTTACGGAAAACATTTGGTGCTGTTTCAGAAAAAAAATTGTTTACAAAATATAAATTTTCTATATTTTGCGCAAAATTGCACACAACTACTCATATTTTCGAAAAACTGTAGATGACCTGTCTTTAAAGAACAGATTTCAAGAGAAAACAGCTTCAATATTGTTGTCGAAAGACGCTGAAAAAAATTGTACATATGGAATTTTCGAAAAATCAGATATTTCAACGAGTATTAGACCTGCACTGTAGGGTGTCCCTTATTTCCCAACTTCGAAATTTTTGAACGCTCACCCCCAATTTAAAAAATTTCAATTCAAAATTTCGAGATTGGAGCATTGTAACACGTGCCGACGTGAGCGCCAATCCGCATGACGGACTAGGCCTACGTACCTTTCTCTGCCGAGTCAGGTTCGAGACTAACAGTACATTAATTATAATCGATCATGTCACACATGTTTACAGGTCGCTAATCTAACAATCACATATGTTAGTATCATATGCAGTGATGATAAACGTGCGTGTTTAGTAGGAGATAATATTAATTATTAATATAACACACGAAATCGCTTGACACAATTTACCATCAAATAAACAATTGCTCGAAATTTTATTTTATGACATACGGGAAGTAAAATTTACAGTTAGTGCAAGTGCTAAACTTGTGAGTGCTTTCGTGAGTGCATGATACGAGTATTTTGGGACAAGACAAGAATTCCGACAAGAGCTGATCGCAAAAAATTAACGTGTATTCAAAGTGGAAAATATTGGGAAAAAACAAAGCAAAAAAAACCCGCTAAAATATGTGTGGCTATTTTAAGCATTGTAAAGAGTTTAAAAATAATTTAATCAATCTATTTGACATTGCACCTCCAAAATGTTTACAAATGATTACGTTGGAAGAAGACAGGATGTTTTTACTTCGGCCGAGAGGGCCAGGACTTAAAAGCTTTCTTGCAGGAGTAGGGCAAAATCTTGCGGATAAACAAGAAAAGGCGAAACAAAGAACATTGCAATAAGAGAAAAGGAAAGAGTAGCAATAGTGTGAAGCGTCTTCATCTTCTGTACCTCCATCGTCTGAAGATTCAGATAACGAACTTTCAAGTTCAGATGATATCAATGTTCGTGAACTTTTAGAAGTGACTTTCGAGAGTACATCAATACAAAATGCTGTAAGGTGTAGCACCAGCAGTTTCATTATTCCTAAACTAATGTTTTACACAGATGCCAGCTGAGAGTAAGAACTTTTGTGTAATTTCTTTAGGTGACAGCAGAGGCACTTGGCCTCAATATCCGAATAACTCTCTATTAATAAGTATTATATGAAGAAGACACGAGAACGTTAAGAAACAATTAAATATTTTAAGAGTAATTTATCTGAAATTCTTACGTTCAAAATTGGGATGGTTAACAGTTGCCTGCATTATATATCAGGGACCCAAAAAAAGAAAGACCTTATTGTTGTTTCATTTGAAAAGAGTCAGCAGCTCATCGGGATTCCAAAATTGAGGAATTATTCTGGTAAAGAGCACACCAACACTGTTTGAAAGGTGTTGACGCACTGGGAGTATCGAAGACAATGTACAAATTATTGGCTGTGACACAACTGCAACAAACACTTGACGTTAGAAAGGACCATGTGCCTTTCTTGATGCAAATTTGGACAGGAAATAGTCATTCTTTCTATGCCGTCATTAATACACGAAATCATTTTATAATGTGTGTTTGAATGTAAAATATGTGATGTAAGCCTTAAAAATGTCTTTCTGTTGATTGTAACTGCTTGTATCAAAACGAGGTTTCACCACAGTGCAACTGTAAAAGTTCACTATCACGATATCTGCTTTTTAAAAGTTCTAAAATCACGTGCAATTTCTGAAATCACAAAGTTCCACAAATTCAAAAGCTGTTCTAAAAAACTAGACACCGTATGTGGAATGTATTAAGAGAATTATCTGTCTTATCCCTCTTTGATGATGAAGTAGACGCACAAATCAAAATCAAAATGGTAGCAAACTTAGCCAGAGAGAATCTACACTATGTGTATGATGAAATTCCAACCGTCAGTCAATACTGTTTACAAGTCATAAATGCAGATT